CTTACTTCAAAGCCTGTTCTTTTCTCTTTCAAACAAACTATTATCCTTGTCTCCAATGCTAGTAATAATTGCACAGGAAAAGATTTAGTAAAACCTATCATTTTAGTTGCTGTTTAATTATGCAAGTTTACTATGTTATTGTTTAGTCGGTTTAAATGTTAGAATTTTCTTCTTTAAACTTTAATGTTGTCGTCACTACATCTGGAAAACCACGTAAGAACAAATTAAAAGTATTTAAAAAAGACCAGGTTGTTTAAAAATCCTAAACGAATGCTAAAAATCGTCAAAACATTCTGGTGTCTGAGCCAGAGTGTCATCGAATTGCGATGTAATGTAAACAGAAATTATAGCAAGTTGATGTCAGTCAGCTTAGATGGTCCAAGCCAAAATTATATCGCATTTGAAGTTTCAAACTGAGTTAAAAATAGTGGAAGAAAAGCCGTTATTATACTTATTGTTACAATCCATTTAATAAAATGCAATATTTTTTTATTTTATTGAAAAAATCAGTTCTTTTTTTGAGAACGATTTGTTATTCCATCTCAATTTTTTAAATCTCCAATCACAATAACGTAAAGTATTATTACCCGCGAACCAATGAGTCAAATTTAAGAAACAACCCACTGTTGAATGTAACGTTTTCGTCTATTATTTGTTTAGCAATTTACATTTCAGTCGAGGATTGCGCTTTTTTTATACACCCTGTATATATATTATATATATCAAAATATGTATATATCAAAATATGTATATATTAAAATGATCAAAATAACGTAAACGCTGTCTAATGTGCGCGCGTGCTCCATTCATATAGCTCGAGAAATCTCGCCCTACAAAATCCAAAATTTCTTTTCTGGTCATTCCTTGACATATATATTTCTCTATATGTCTGTTTTGAGCTGAATATCGCGGTCTGCCATATTTGTGAATGGGACGCGTTTTCATTCGATGGCCTGAAAACTAGTTGGCAGCAATCGGCCAAGTGGTAGTCTTCGGCCACACTCGGTTCTTTTATAATTTACTTTTTTTTAAATTTAGAAACAAAAAAATAAATTAAAGAAGAAAAAAATTTACAAAATATTTGGCAAAATTCAATTGGTAGCACTCGCCCACCATAGTTTAGTCAGCATTCACCAATGACTATATTTGAACTTAATGTATAGTTTTTTGTGATCTTCGTACGATATTTCAAAAGAAGTGTTTCTGAACATTCAGCATTGGAGATCGCTCCTATTCAAATCAATGTCATTTTTTCTAGAATTAACAGAATCTTCGACATATCAAATTATGTCAAGTAGCAGTACAGGTAAGACTAACAATTGCAAAAATTAAATCTTTTACCGAAGGCGAAGTATTTCCTAACAGTTTGAAAAAAATACAGTTAGAACTACGCATTATACGTATGTCCAACACGTTTTAGAACCTCGAGCAATTTATATTGATCAGTTTTGATTGTCACAATGTACTATCTATATATATAAGACTGTAGTGATCGTTTCTTCGTGAAAGTCAGTATAAAAGAAGTAAAAAACCGAATTCATTGATTTTACAGCACAATAAATACTAAATTTTCTGATTGATTTCCCTGCTTTCCTATTGATCATCGTTAATATTCAACCAAGTGAATTTCAACCAAGTGTTACCCGCTCATCGAATTCACTATTTAAGCAAAAGAGCACGAGTCCGAAGGACGAGTGCTATTTGAGGTCACGAGTGCATGTTTATCCAAATTTCACGAGGAACCATGCTATTATTTATTAATAATTTACATAAAAATGTTCAGACAATTGTAGTTTTAACTTACGCGTTTATAGCGAACATTCCACTGGCAAAGTTTTCCTGGCTTTGTTATATCACATTACACAACGCTAACAGCTTGAAAATTCTACTCAACTATGGAATTTTTGTTAGTGTTGTTTAAGGTAAATGCTTTTCCATTTAAAAATAAAGATAAACGCCATATTTTCCACGCGAAGGCAACTTCTACTTTGTGTAGCGCGGCGCCATGTTTGTTTTGTTTTAAAGCAATCTGTGACCGTTACTTCGTTAAACTAAATTGCTTTAAACTGATTGTTTTTCCACCAATTAGATCAGTTTGTTACACATTTTTGCACTGTGATTACAGAAAATTGCCTGAGATTACGAAAAATTGCACTGTGATTACAGAAAATTGCACTGCTGTTTGGGATTAACAGCACTGAAATCAACCAATCCGGGCAGTCGAGTAATATCTTTATGTATATTGTTATTCATGATACAAACATAAAACAAGGAAAAACTTTTAATTTTACTTTTACAACGTGCTTTATAAATCGCCATCTTGGATTTCCAGTTACCATAGTAACCATGAACAATTATATAACGTAATCGTCGTGTCTTCGAACTGCTTCAGTATGGCTTACATACATACCTGCATCCTACATACCTGCACGCGTAAATTTATAAGCCTGCTGTTTAAACAGGATTGGACAATGTTGTGCTCCCAGCTGCCGCATTGTTCGCACGGTCAGCACTTGTTTCCATCTACCAAACTGACATGATGTCATTTTCCAGTGACGTAGCCACCCCAAATTTGGTAACGTTATGCAAACATTTCCGTGTTCATGAACCGTGAAAACAATCAATTTCTAAAGAAATGAATAATGATAATGATTTGAAATTTGCATAGCATGACTACGCCACTGTCATTTTCAGAAGATGGAGAGGTGTTAAATGGCTATGTATTAGTATGTAACTAACCCAACACCTACCTGCCCTCCTCTAACCCTTAACCGCTACCATAACTCTAACCCTAAACCTAACCCTAAGCCTAAGCCTAACCCAATTAATAACAAAAATTCAAAAAGAAACAACTTTAGAAATTGATCAAATGACGTAACATCATTTTGGTAGATTAAACAAGTGAAAACCTGTTCGCACTTGTCAACAATATTGAACAATATTGTTGAGCCTGAATCGGGTGTAACAATATTGTTGACAACTGTGAACAATGTGAGCAGCACAACGTACGTTGTTCAATCCTGTTTACATCAATATTGCAACAACCTGATCGTTTTTAGCTGTGTACACAAGCAGTTTCTCAGTTTTACAGCCAAACTTACAATTATATGCAATTTTACAAAGGATATTAATTTAATATTAATTCCTCAAATTTCAATTTAATTCGTTGCATAGAGGATACCTTTTATGAAATAGTAAAATTCAAAGGTTAATCTCTCCTATAGATTTTTGGAAATATACATTTTTTTTCTCTTTATCGAAATATTAGATGTTTTAACAGATTCTTCAACTCAAATTCAGCAAAGTGATTCAACAGCTAAATTAGTTGATTGATTTTGCGGACATGTACAACGATATAATTTGGACTATTTTATTTAACAATTATTCGTCGAAGGGGAGATGACTTTCGGTGACGAAGTCGAGGGTTTTTTTCACGATAATCACTGAGCCTGAGGTGAATAATTGTTTTAGTATAATTTCATGGGTGACTATTTGGAAAAATAAAAAATAAACATTTCTTCGTCATTTAATTGACAAAACGGCTTCGGCCGCCATATTGAAAATCGCTTAGGGTGATTATCGCGTTATAATCAATTCAACGGCAACCAATCGTCGTGGAGAATTTTCAATAATCACCAATGTAATTATACTAATATTTGTTATTTTTAAAATGACCACCCTTTTTGTGAGTTGCTACCTCTCTTAATTGATAATAAGCATTAACACGAAAATGAGGCTCCAGGTCATGACCTGCAGCATCGTTTTCGTGTTAAAGCTTATTTCCACATTTATTCGTAAAAATAAAGAAGTTTTTCACGCATGTGTTGAAGGAAGACGTTCTGCTTCTCTGTGCATAGCCCATGAGAAAAAGACTTGAAATCATTTCCATTTAAGGTGGTACTAAGTTGAAAACAGTGTAGTTGTGACGTAATTATCGAAAGGGTGTATCCCGTAATCATGCTGGGGAGAGGGAGCAATAGAGTCAATTAATAAGTCCAAGTCTACATGTATGCGTTATCGTTTAGTAAAGACCGAGATTTTTCTTGTATGTGTTTAGAACAATTGTCAGAATTCCCTAATCACCTAATTAGTGATTGCCGGAAGCCAGGATTCTAATTTTGCTGTATGCTACTAGTTTGCCTTGTCAATAATTTTGCTGTTTTTAAGTCAATTTAGCGTTCACGGGTCGAATCATAATTGGCTATGTTTGAACTAGTTTTACACGTTTTAACGTTCTTCATGTGTTCCTTGTTTAAATTCTCGTCTTTAAGGCCAGATATAACTCCAAATTTCGTATGAAATAGAATGTTCCGGCTACAGAAGTCGGAAAAACTCTATGTACTTTCCTTGTCAAGCATGTTCTACCATTGTTTAATGTTACTAATTTTGGTTATGAATTTGACAACTAAAATCAACCTAATGTTTCATGTTTAGTGCTACCAGAGTCTACGTCTGTTATTGTTATGGAAACGTCATCAGGTAGTGTATATTTTATTTCTGATAATTTCGAACGATCTATGCTAGTATTGGCTGAGATCGAGAAATTTATGACACCATGTACATTCGCAGAACAGCAAAATATCCGCAACACAGGCAAAACATAGAACTCCAATAGAAATAGGCATGCACGCGATATGATTAATTTTGAAAAGTTGTAACTCATGGAACAGGGCTGTCAACAAATTCTATTATAGATGTTACTGCAACAGGTATTTTTGGTTGAAAGTAATTTATTTCGAAGATAAGGTTGGTGACCCCATTTTTTATTTTGTGGTATGATTTCTTTTAGTATTTTGAATCATTTCCATGATTTTAAAAATTTCTGTAACGCCAAACTTATTCAAGATCGGAAAATGTAGCTAATACAATATATAATCGAAAAACAATATTTTTTTGCATGACAGAATTTTTAAAAATCATAGCAATGACTCAAAATACTGTACTAAATGAATTCTTTTTATGAAATAAAAAATGGGGGTAACCGAACTTATTTTCAAGTTTGGACCCAAAATATCGGCCATATTGAAGCGTAATTGTTGACATAGCAACGGCAGTTGCGATTGCTTTTTTCGAAGAAAATCTAACTTTGGAGTTATTATTTTTCTAATCGGACTTCCTTTGTCTTCCTTTCCTATAGCATATATATAGGAATTGTTGAAAAATTTGGTATGAATCGGAGATCTTCCATTTTCTACCAATTATGACCGTCTTATTCTCCAAGGAAGAGTATCTTCCTTCACTCTGAAAACTCCTTCTAACTTTGCGAATAAAAAATTAGCGACAATGTATACGAGTAACATGCACATCCTATGCCTATGGGTAATCTACTGTCCACCGAGTATTTTCGCATGATCGGAAAGCTCAGAAATCTTGCAAACCTCAACATACCTAAATAAGGAAAAATGTTTTCTTACTCCTTAGTTTCATTAGTTTCCATAATTTAATTCTGAAATAACAACTGCATGATCACGACTGTCGAAATGTAAACTAAAAATTAAAATAAAATTAAAATAAAAGAATGACAAATTAATTTGAGAAAAAAATATTTGATCAAAACATTTTAACGCTGCATGTAGCTGGAAAAACATTGTACCATAAATTTACCAAACAATTTGTCTGTGCATAAAGCACTCGATAAGCATCACTGAGTGTTCATACAATTAGCCACTTCCCAAAGTCCTGGATCAAAAATCCATGTTGGAGGTACAAGAAATATGGCAGCACATAATATTATTTAAAAGATATTTCATTTTTGGTCCTTGATTTTGATAGTAGGTACTTCTACTCTTTCACATATTTGACGCTGCCTCGTACCCAGGTGTTTCTTTGTAAAAAAACAATGATGCGCATTATGATGAGTTTATATTTGAAGTATTGTAGTGGGGAGAGATGGGCGAAAGGACTGATGGTGTTTCCTTTTCATCCATTTATTCCGTCCCAAATGCAAAATGCTGTAAAATTCCAATACCTTACACTAACGCTCCTTATTATACTCTGGATTTCTTGTAGAATCCTCCAGTGCAATTGAAATGACCTCAACTGGTAGGAAAATAGCAAGAATATTATTGTACAGGGTGTCTCAAAAAATAGGCTATGGAAATTCAACAGGCTATCGTGCATCATCAACTTTGCTAAACAATTCGATTTTTCGTAGGACGAAAGAGCAGTTATTTAGCTTTGCAATGATACCTTTTTAAATCGTAACGATGAAAAATGGTCACATACTCCTCAAATAAAAATTGCCGGCCAAAATCACATTCATCCACCGTTGGGAATTGAAGATACATTAATTATGCAAAGTTAATCAATCCAAAAGCAACACGAGTCTGCTGCAAGCTATTTGTTTTCTAAAATTTTGATTACGAATTTTCTCTGTTTAGTGGTTAATTAATAGACCTTTTTAAAAAGTCGGCCTTGTGACGTAGTTTGCGGATAAACAGTGGCGGCGCCAGGTGTCCGAATTTGGTGGTGGGGGGGGGGAGCATTTTAGGGGCAAACTCATATTTTTGGGGGCAAGAGAGAATTTTTGAAAAGGTTGCCCCCCCCCCCAGGAGATTCGCCCCCGCCCCGCCCCTGCGGATAAATACGATCTTTTGGCCAATCAGGCCAGCCAAATCATCACTGTGCGGGGGGTTTCCTTTATCCACAAATACGTCACAAGGCAGACTTTTTAGAAACTCTATTGAAGAACCTTGTTTAATGGACGTTCTTATTGTCTCAATAAGAGGACGAATGACGAGTTGAGCTTATTTTAATTTAGATAATTTAACATGCAATTTTAATTCTCTCTTGGGAATTGTCTATGTTTCATGTTCCATGCAATTCCTAACGGTGGAAGAATATCTCGATTTGACAAGTATCTCGCCATTTATCATCGTTACGATTAAAAAGAGTAGCATTGAAAAGCTAAATAACTGTTCTTTCATTTTATGTAATTGTTGAATTGTTTAGCCATGTTTAATCCTGTATAGTCACCTTAACTGTATACATGTTCCTTGCCTGCTTCGATGGACGCAAAAAATGCAAAAGATTTTCCAAATATAAAAGAATGGCCAAAATTGCGGTTACTTTATGTCATTGTTCCACAAAATCAAAATAGATACTATCATTTTTATTCCTTTTCATCTTGTTATTTCGTCCCAAGTGCAACATTCCTGACATTTTCAATACGGTAAACATACTAACACTATCTATCTTATTATACTCTGTGTTTGTCTAGAATCTCCAGATGGAATTGAAATGACCTCGACAGGTAGGATCGAAAATATCAAGAACATTATTGTTTATCAGCTAACTATAACCACCAGGGTCGTAGGAAGCATCAAAAGATAGGGGGGAGGGGGCACCGACTTCCAAGGGCACTTTTGGATAATGAAAAGGGCACCTAGAAAATTTTTCTCGGAATTGTTGGCGACAGGGCGACCAATTTGTTTTTAAAAACGTTGAAATTTCCACACAAAAAGAGCACCTTTGATGTTAATTTAGTATTTACAGCGACATTAGCTTGTACAAAAAGGGCACTTATTGTTGGTCCTTTGAAAAAAATTGGGGCGCACGTGCTCCTGTGCCTACGTCCCTTCGTACGTCCCTGATAACCACCAAAAGTTCTTCCTAATATGTTTTCATGCACGAAAAAATACATATGATTTTCAGGTATACAGGAAATTAATTTATTTAATGTTAAATTGTACTATTTGTACCAACAGAATATATATGGCATTCTGACATGCTAAATAATTGGATAACGATTAACATAATTTATGTAATAATGTTAAGAATTCAAGTGCTTTCATTGGTCGAAAGCCATGATATATTAGAGGACAAATGCATGGAATTACATCACAATAAAGTAGCCCATAAATATTCGCTTAATTTGTATAGACCATGCATGTGCATGTGATTTTTGTACAAGGTCGACTTTTTCAAATTTTCAAATGTTTGAGTGGATAAAAAGTATGTTATTTACCTGTTTAATTCTGGATTTTCTTTTTATTATATAAAACAAATAGATAAGATTTGCCGTTGCCTGTTCATTTATAGGGATAAGAACAAAAACTGGTCACGATCTATCTATTAATTTGATTTTTTTTTTACAGTTTTGGTGATAAGTTTGACGTCAGAAATCGATGCAACCTCGACAGGTAAACAATCTTTACCTTTACTGGTTCAAAGTCGACCCACACTTCCGGAAAGTACATCACCCGGGTTTGAGAGACTAATTTTCGTGATTAGGACATTGGTTTTACAGCCTTACTTTTTAAACAAAATATTAGATGTACGATTGGTGAAGGAAAACCTCCGTAATAAAACATGTGATGTACAATACTATTTATAGCTAGTATTATATATTTTGATACTTGGTAGTGTTTTTACCAGTATTTTGTTTATTCGACTGGTCCTTCTATTTAGTATTAATGCCGAAGGTCTCTGTCACACAGTACCAGAGAAAAATAGAAAGAAATAATAACTGAACATATGTTCTTCCATGCACAGGCTGAAATGTCTTCTACGTACAGGCTGAAATTTCGTTCCATACATTTCTTATTAAGGCTTTACAGTAACTTTTTTTGACCGTATCTGTCGAAACTGGTAACAAACAAGAATAATACTGGAATATATATTTATATCCTTTTTTTTGCTTTATTCAGTTATTGCTGTAAGTTCGGAGCAAGCAGTGGATGTTACTTCGACAGGTAAACAAACCTTGAAACGTCACTTCCTTCTGGCTATTCATGCAACTATTTGTTTTCTACAGAAATTTGGGTTATTTTGTTTCTTGAAGGTCTATAACTGCAGGTTTTGTAAATAAATGTTGTGTTATACATAATTTATATTCGTCCTTTTATTTTCCTCGTCAATGCAACACACTGTGAAATACCAATCCCATGCACTAACCCTTTTTATTGTACTCGGTATATTTCTTCCAGAGTCTCCCGATGTAACTCAGATGACCTCGACAGGTAGGAAAATACCAACTATCTGTACCGAAATATCTTCCTAGAATGTTTTGGTATACACACAAAAATATGCACAAGATTTTCCAACATAACGAATGGCCCAAATTAAGGTTAATTTATACCATTAGTATCACTACAAAATTAAGTTCATACGCAACCTGAAAGTAAAAAATAATATTTAAATTAACAAAATAATTTGTTTCGAAGGGTAAACGAAAACCTACTTCGTTTTAATTTTTACTTTCAGTTGTTCGAAGAGAATGCACGCTTCCAGAAAGTGCATCGTCTGAGATAAAGAGCCTATATATTTCTCGTGATTCAAACATTGGTTGCGGCTGTAATCTTTTAATAACGAAATATATATTATATTATATAGTTATAATATAAGTGCATGGTATATAACAGACAATTTGATTGGCTAATGCGCGTGCATTGTGACGCAAAATAGTTGAGAAAATACTTGAAAAAGATACAGGAATACCAAAAACATAGAAAAAAGCAACGAAAACTGAACGTAAGAGATCTATAAAGTACCTTGAATTCTTCTGATAAAAACTGCTAGATATGTTTTCGGCGAAAGGCAAAAAATACAATAATTTCGAAAATTAAAACTGAGCAACACGACGAAACCTATGGTTTAACGTCGTTCATGGCAAAACTGGCAGCCCAAATGCTTAAGAACATTAGCAAATCAGCAGAACATTAGCATCAAAATTTTCTCAAAATTTGTATTGATTTTGCTCCTTCGCTCGCTTAGCTTAGTCGAAAAAAAGCATTAGACAGTAAAGGCATGCGCGTTACGTCACCGAGTACATGTTAGGGGAATTTAAAAGTTGATCTTTTGAGTAAAATGGTTTACCATGTAATATCTTCTACTTACATTAAAAAAGAAATAGAAAAACTCGTCTCGTGCGTTTACGGTGTGATACGCGCTTCTCTCGTATTCTCCCAACATTCCCCGCGTGCATTATAACACCTTCAAAAACTCATTAATAATTCATGAAGCAATTATCCAATCTTGAGTAAGAAATTAGTCATGTGCATACGTCTTTATACCAGCTAAAGAACACTTTAACAAAAGACCATTGTTATGCAAACTATATAAAGGTTTTTATATAAAGATTTTTATATAAAGATTTTTATGAAGATTTTTATATAAAGATTTGACTTATTATGCATACGTTTTTGAAGTCATTTAAAAAACTCGCGGGTCGTGTTTTATTAGGTCTAAAGCCACTCGCGCTGCGCGCTCGTGGCTTTAAACCTAATAAAACACTCCCGCTCGTTTTTTAAATAGTACATAAACGCGCGCGATTCGTTTAATTTCTATTTCTTAAATAATATAGATTAACCTGCGTAATGAAACTATATATAAGTGTTTTTTCTACCAGTTCAATTTCTAATTACCCATAAAGTACAATAACCATTCATGACATGCAAAATGTTGCCATAAATAATATTTAGATTGTATATCCTCTTTTTTATGCTTTGCATAGTTGTGGCTATCAGTTCAACGCAAGCAGCGGATGTTACTTCGACAGGTAAACAAACATGGAAACGTTACTTCCTTCTATTCATTTATTTGTTTTTTGCAGATATTTTATTTCTATGTTTCTTGGCGGTCTTCAATAAATTTTGTAATGTTTTTCTCACGTGCTATGCACAGAGAAGCAGAACATCTTTCCTCAACGCATGCATTAAAAAATTGTGTTGATTTTGATCAATAAATGTGGAAATAAGTATTAACACGAAAACGAGGCTCCAGGTCATGACCTGGAGCCTCGTTTTCGTGTTAAAGCTTATTTTCACATTTATTCGTAAAAATAAAGAAGTTTTTCACGCATGTGTTGAAGAAGGATGTTCTGCTTCTCTGTGCATAGCCTATGAGAAAAAGACTTGAAATCCTTTCCATTTAAGGTGATAATAAGTTGAAAACAGTGTAGTTGTGACGTAATTATCGAAAAAGTGTATCCCGTAATCATGCTGGGGAGAGGGAGCAATAGAGTCAATTAATAAATCCAGGTCTACATGTATGCGTTATCTTTTAGTAAAGACCGAGATTTTTCTTGTATGTGTTTAGAACTATTGTCAGAATTCCCTTATCACCTAATTAGTGATTGCCAGAAGCTATGATTCTAATATATTTTGCTGTTTGCTACTAGTTTGCCTTGTCAATAATTTTGCTGTTTTTAAATCAATTTAACGTTCGCGGGTCGAATCATAATTGGCTATGTTTGAACTAGTTTTACACGTTTCAACGTTCTTCATGTGTTCCTTGTTTATTAAATTCTCGTCTTTAAAGCCAGATATAACTCCAAAGTTCGTATGAAATAGAATGTTACGGCTACAGAAGTCGGAAAAACTCTATGTATAATCCTTGTCATGCATGTTCTACCATTGTTTAATGTTACTAATTTTGGTTATGAATTTGACAACTAAAATCAACTTAATGTTTCATGTTTAGTGCTACCAGTTGAGTCTACGTCTGTTATTGTTATGGAAACGTCATCAGGTAGTGTGTATTTTATTTCTGATAATTTCGAACGATCTATGCTCGTACTGGCATAGATCGAGAAAATTATGACACCATGTACATTCGCAGAACAGTAAAATATCGGCAGCACAGGCAAAACATAGAATTCCAATATAGGACATCTATGCTGCCAGTTGCAAGTTATTTAACAGGTCGATGATCGATGCATGCACGCGATATGATTAATTTTGAAAAGTCGTAACTCATCTTGGATTATATTGTTTTTGTAACAGGGCTGTCAACAATTTCTATTATAAAAATCATTACAATGATTCAAAATACTAAATAAATTCTTTTTATGAAATAAAAAATGGGGGTAACCGAACTTATTTTCAAATTTGGACCCAAAATATCGGCCATATTGAAGCGTAATTGTTGACATAGCAACGGCAGTTGCGATTGTTTTTTTCGAAGAAAATGTAACTTTAGAGTTATTATTTTAAATTTCTAATCGGACTTCTTTTGTCTTCCTTTCCTATAGCATAAATATATAGGAATTGTTGAAAAATTTGGTATGAATCGGAGATCTTTCACTTTCTACCAATTATGACCGTCTTATTGTCCAAGGAAGAGTATCTTCCTTCACTCGTAATGTAAACTAAAAATTAAAATAAAATAAAAATAAAAGAATGACAAATTAATTTGAGAAAAAATATTTGATCAAAACATTTTAACGCGGTAGCTGGACAAACATTATACCATAACTTACCAAACAATTTGTCTGTGCATAAAGCACTCGATAAGCATCACTGAGTGTTCATACAATTAGCCACTTCCCAAAGTCCTGGATCAAAAACCCATGTTGGAGGGACAAGAAATATGGCAGCACATAATAATATTTAAATTAAATGTTTAATGTAAACAGGAGATATTTTATTTTTGGTCCTCTAGAAAGTTAATTTTGATAGTAGATACTGCCACTCTTTAACATATTTGACGCCGCCTCATACCCAGGCGTCTCTTTGTAAAAAAACAATGATGCGCATATGACGAGTTTACATGAAGCATTGTAGTGGGAAGAGATGGGCGAAGGGGGTGATGGTGTTTCCTTTTCATCCATTTATTCCGTCCCAAATGCAAAATGCTGTAAAATTCCAATAATACCTTACACTAACGCTCTTTATTATACTCTCGATTTCTTGTAGAATCCTCCGGTGCAATTGAAATTACCTCAACTGGTAGGAAAATAGCAAGAACATTATTGTACAAGGTGTCTCAAAAAATAGGCTATGGAAATTCAACAGGCTATCGTGCATCATCAACTTTGCTAAACAATTCAATTTTTCATAGAACGAAAGAGCAGTTATTTCTTAGCTTTGTAATGATACCTTTTTTAAATCGTAACGATGAGAAATGGCCGGATACTCGTCAAATAAAATTTGCCGGTCGAAATCACATTCTTCCACCGTTGGAAATTGAAAATACATCAATTATGCAAAGTTAATCAATCCAAAAGCAACGCGAGTCTGCTGCAAGCTATTTGTTTCGTAAACTTTTGATTACGAATGTTCTCTTCAATAGACCTTTTTAAAAAGTCTGCCTTGTGACGTAGTTAGCGGATAAATACGATCTTTTGGCCAATCAGGCAAGCCAAATCATCACTGTGCGGGGTTTTCCTTTATCCACAAACTACGTTATAAGGTAAGCGAGTTGAGCTCATTTTAGATAATTTAACATTCAATTTTAATTCTCTCTTGGGAATTGTCTATGTTTCGTTTTCCATGCAATTCCCAACGGTGGAAGAATATCTCGATTTGACGAGTATCTCGCTATTTATCATCGTTACGATTAAAAAGAGTAGCATTGAAAAGCTAAATAACTGTTCTTTCGTTCTATATAAAAGTTGAATTGATTATCCATGTTTAATCCTGTATAGTCACTTAACTGTATACATGTTCTTTGCCTGTTTCGGTGGACGCGAAAAATGCAAAAGATTTTCCAATATAAAAGAATGGCCAAAATTGCGGTCACTTTATGTCATTGTTCCACAAAATCAAAATAGATATTGTCATTTTCATTCCTTTTCATCTTGTTATTTAATTTCGTCCCAAATAGATACTGTCATTTTCATTCCTTTTCATCTTGTTATTTAATTTTGTCCCAAATTGAAACGACCTGAAAATTGAAACGACCTCGACAGGTAGGATCGAAAATATCAAGAACATTATTGTTTATCAGCTAACTATAACCGCCAGGGGCGTAGGAAGCATCAAAAGATTGGGGCACCGGCTTCCAAGGGCACTTTTGTATAATGAAAAGGGCACCTAAAAAATTTTTCTCGGAAATGTTGGCGAGAGGGCGGGGGCAGGAAATTTTCCCATCATACTATACCGAAATTGAACGTTATTGGCCAATTTTTTTTTGAAAAACATTGAAATTTCCAAACAAAAATAGCATCTTTGATGTTAATTTAGTATTTGCAGCGACATTAGCTTGTACATAAAGGGTACTGTTTGTTGGTCCTTTGAAAAAATTCGGGGGCACGTGCCACCTGTGCCCCCCCCCCCAAGGTTCCTAAGCCCCAGATGACCACCAAAAGTTCTTCCTAATATGTTTTCATGCACGAAAAAAATACATATGATTTTCCGGTATACAGGAAATTAATTTATTTAATGTTAAATTGTACTATTTGTACCAACAGAATATATATTAATTCGGGGTTTTCTTTTTATTATATAAAACAAATAGATAAGATTTTGTCGTTGTCTGTTCATTTATAGGGATAAGAACAAGAAGTGGTCACGATCTATTTATTAATTTGATATTTTTTTACAGTTTTGGTGATAAGTTCGACGTCAGAAATCGATGCAACCTCGACAGGTAAACAAGAAACGTAAAATGTAATTTTTACCTTTACTGGTTCAAAGTCGACCCACACTTCCGGAAAGTATACATCACCCGGGTTTGAGAGACTAATTTTCGTGATTACGACATTGGTTTTAGAGCCTTACTTTTTTAAACAAAATATTAGATGTACGATTGGTGATGAAAAACCTCCGTAATTAAATACATAGCTCTTATTATATATTTTAATATATTCTAATACTTGGTAGTGTTTTTACCAGTATTTTGTTTATTCGGCTGGTCGTTCTATTTAGTAATAATGCCGAAGATCTCTCCTACACAGTGCTAATTGTGAAAAATAGAAAGAAATAATAACTGAACATATGGTTCTTCCACAGGCTGAAATTTCTTTTAATTCGTTTCCATACATTTTCTTTCGCATTAAGGCTTTACAGTAACTTTTTTTTTACTGTATCTATCCAAACTGGTAACAAACATGATAATACTAGCATAAATATTTACATCCTCTTTTTTTTGCTTTTTTCAGTTATTTCTGTAAGTTCGGAGCAAGCAGTGGATGTTACTTCGACAGGTAAACAGACCTTGAAACGTCACTTCCTTCCATTCATGCAACTATTTGTTTTCTACAAAAAGTTGGTTTATTTTGTTTCTTTAAGGTCTATAACAGGTTTTGTAAATAAATGTTGTGTTATACATAATTTATATTCGTCCTTTTATTTCCCTCCTAAATGCAACACACTGTGAAATATATCAATACGATACACTAACCCTTTTTATTACACTCTGTATATTTCTTCCAGAATCTCCCGATGTAACTCAGATGACCTCGACAGGTAGGGAAATACCAACTATCTCTACCAGAATATCTTCCTAGAATGTTTTGCTATAGACACGAAAATATGCACAGGCTTTTCCAACATAACGAATGGCCAAAATTAAGATTAATTTATACCATTAGTATACAACAAAGTTAAATTCATACGCAACCTGAAAGTAAAAAATAATGTTTAAATTAACAAAATAATTTGTTTCAAAAGATAAACGAAAACCGTAAACGTTACTTCGTTTTAATTTTTACTTTCAGCCGTTCGAAGACAATACACGCTTCCAGAAAGTGCATTGTCTGAGATAAAGAGCCTATATTTCTAGTGATTCAAACATTGGTTGCAGCTTTAATCTTTTAAATTAATAACGAAATATATATTATATAGTTTTATTATATAAAGTATAGTGCTTTTTATTATATGGTCAATGGTGTTTTACTGGAAACTAAAACACTCGTAGAACTTATACGTCACTACATCCGGGGCCAGGTGCGCGTATTTTCCGTATTTCACCCCTGCTAGTGACATACGAAAATTTCCCGCCATTTTCATTGTTGTTGTTTTGAAAATACAAATGGTCTTTGGTTCGTATTTAAAACGAAATTAACGTTGGAAATAAAACGAAAACATTATAAAAGACATCTTGAGATAAGTAAAATTTATTCTAGTTTTATGTTTGCATTTTAAAAAATATCGCTTTTATACTGATTTTTCTCGTGCTTATTTACATGTCGTCTTTGTGTGTATTTTTGTCACTCGGTGTAAGTCCATATAATAAACAGAACATTAAACGGTTCCGAGAAGATATGGATTTATGTTCTCGTGTCAAACATAAAATCCATATCTCTTCGCAACCGTCTAATATCCTATATATAGAGATTTCGAGCACTGATAAAAGTGATAATCTCACATGTGAGATTATTCATGTGAAAATTATCGCTTTTCAATTATCGCTTTTCTGTAAAAATTATCACTTTTCAAAGACTGTCCTTTATATAATAAACAGAAAAATACATGGGTGCTTGGAAATACCAGATTTATGCGCTCACTCGTGAGATATCATGTTCAACACTCGAAATAAATCTGGTATTTCCGCGCACCCATGTATTATTCTCTATATAATGTAAGTGCATAGGATATAACAGAAAATTTGATTGGATAATGCGCGTGTATTGTGACGCAAAATAGTTGAGAAAAAACTTGAAAAAGATACAGGAATACCAAAAACATAGGAAAAGGCAACGAAAACTGAACATAAGTGATTTATGAAGTACCTTCAATTCTTCTGATAAAAACTGCTAGATATATTTTCGGCGAAAGGCAAAAAATAAAATAATTTCAAAAATTAAAACTGAGCAACACGACGAAACCTATGATTTAACGTCCTTCATGGCAAAACTGGCAGCCCAAATGCTTAAAAACATTAGCAAATCAGTAGAACATTAGCATCAAAATTTTCTCAAAATTTGTATTGATTTTGCTCCTTCGCTCGCTCAGCTTGGTCGAAAAAAAGCATTATATAGACAGTAAAAGCATGCGCGTGACGTCAACGAGTACATGTTAGGGGAATTTCAAAGTTGATCTTTTGAGTAAAAAGGTTTACCATGTAATATCTTCTACTTACATTAAAAAAGAAATAGAAACACTCGTCTCGTGTGTTTGCTGTGTGATACACGCTTCTCTCGTATATTCTCCCAACATTCCCCGCGTGCATTATAACACCATAAACGCACGCGACTCGTTTAATTTCCATTTCTTAAATAATATACCAGATTAACCTGCGTAATGAAACTATATTTATATAAGTGTTTTTTTCTACTAGTTCAATTTCTAATTACCGATAAAGTACAATAACAATGACATGAATAATGTTGCCATAAATAATATTTAGATAATATATCCCTTTTTTATGCTTTGCATAGTTGTGGCTATAAGTTCATCGCAAGCAGCGGATGTTACTTCGACAGGTAAACAAACATGGAAACGTCACTTCCTTCTATTCATCTATTTGTTTTCTGCAGATATTTTGTTTCTATGTTTCTTGACGGTCTTCAACAGATTTTGTAATGTTCTGTTATACATAATTTCAAATGGTTTCATGTTTCGTTTTCATCTTTCTATTTTCATCCTAAGTGCAACATACATGCACACTGTAAAATACCATACACTATATAAACCTTTTTATCCTTTACTTTTTTTATCCCAAAACCTTTTTAATACTTTGTATTTCTTCCAGAATCTCCCGATGCAACTGAGATGTCCTCGACAGGTAGGAAAATACCGACTATCTCTACCAAGAAATATATTTGTATTTACCCATAAATTACAATAAACATGACATATGATGTTGCGTTAAACAATATTTAGATAATCTATCCACTTTTTTATGCTTTGTACAGTTATTGCTGTTAGTTCGATGCAAGTAGTGGATGCTTCTTCCACAGGTAAATATATATCTTCCTTATACTTCAACACAATGTATCTTCTTGTGCTTGTTGAAGATTATCAGGGTGGCTTTGACATTGAACCTTTACTTCATACGATATTTATATAAAGACTAAAATTTATTTTTCTCTTGTTCTTTTTCCCGCATGAAGACTTAAAAGTTGGCATTTTTGCTTGCTTGGCAAGAACTTGTCCAATGTTTGAAATAATATTACACACGGTTTCCGTTGAAACGTCTATACTTAAATATATATAAATCATATTTTGTAGGAGTTGCTCTGAATCCTTCCACAATTTCACCATCTCTTTCAACAGGTATGTAAGAATATTGATAATGATATATGAATATACGATCATTGATAATGAACATTGCAATAATTATATTATAATAAGATTAACATCCTGATTTTGATGTTTTGTACAGTTATGACTGCGAGTTTTTCGCAAGCAGCGGATGTTACTTCGACAGGTAAACAAACCTTGAAGCGTCACTTCCTTTTATCCTTCCACTTGTTTTCTTCAACAGGTTTTGTATTCTTGTATTATCCATAATTTCAGTTGGTATCATGTTTCATTTTCATCCTTTTATTTTCGTCCTAAATTCCACACACTGTGAAATACCACACATGCACTAACACTTTTTCATTATACTCTGTATTTCTTCTAGAATCTCCCGATGCAACTGAGATGTCGACCTCGACAGGTGGGAATATACCAACTCTCTCTACCAAGAAATATAGTTGTATTTACCCATAAATTACAATAAACATGGATGACATGATGTTGCGATAAATAATATTTTTTTTGTGTTGGTATTAATAATGTACTCAGGTGAATATGATGCTGTGATGTTACTCTGAGTGTATTATATCCACACCGGGCAAGCTTGAAAAATATGCCTGGCCACGATGGGAATCGAACATACGACCTTTGGAATACTAACCCAATGCTCTGCCACCTGAGCTACGTGGTCAGGTCGGTTCGTGTCTGTAATGATTTCGGAACTGAGTCTAGTTCCTTCGATATCGATGTAATCTAGTAATCATAAATTTTTTCTGCGTTGGTATAATGTACTCAAGTGAATATGATGCTTGTGATGTTACTCTGAGTGTATATTCACACCGGGCAAGTGAAAAATATGCCTGGCCACGGTGGGAATCGAACCTATGACTTTTGGAATACTAGTCCGCGGTCAGGTCGGTTCGAGTATGTGATATTTCGGAACATATTTTTCAAGGTTGCCCGGTGTGGATATACACTCAGAGTGACATCACAAGCATCAAATAATATTTACTAGATAATATAATTATCGTCTTTTTTATGCTTTGTACAGTTGTGTCTGTTAGTTTGACATTGAATTATCATTGATATTTTATTTTATATTTACTTCAAACGATATTTATATAAAGACTAAAATCTATTTTTCTCTTGTATTTTTTTCCCTTTTGAAGACTGTATAGTTGGCATTTTTACTTGCTTGGCAAGCACTTGTCCAAATAATATTACACAAACAACAGTTTAACTTCCTTTGAAACATCTAACTGCAGCATTTTTAAATAATATTATATATAAATCATTTTTATAGGAGTTGCTATGAATCCATCTACAATTTCACCATCTCTTCCAACAGGTATATGTATATTGATAATGATATATGAATATACGATGATTAATAATGCACATTGCAAGAATATTAATTAATATATTATAACAAGATTTACATCCTGTTTTTGATGTTTTGTACAGTTATGACTGCGAGTTTGTCGCAAGCAGCGGATATTACGTCGACAGGTAAATAAATCCTGGAATTCGAAATTTAATGCATGTCTACAGAATTTGTGTTTCGGTCTTCTGCACGGGTATTCCATTGGTATTAATTTCTCATATTTCATTAATTGTTCGTATGATCGTTTGTTACTAATATTTCATATTATGCTATTCGTTTATTATCTTTGAACTTTTAATACTTGTCGAAATCTATACATGTATTGTAAATTATACGTCATTCAGTCATTTTCTTTGAAATTATAGCCACATATGAATGCTAATTAAATATATATAAATTTTTATAGGAGTCATTATGGGTCCTTCTACAATTTTGCCATCACCTTCGACAGGTATAAAAACTTACAGACATGCATTTTTTTATATAAATTTATATTATTACTAAAGTAATTTCTGATACGGAATCTCCTGGGGCCGGTTGTATAAAACTCTTAATCACTTTTTTAATCACTATTTTGTAGTTAAATAGTGATTAACTCTCAAATACGCGCTTCTTATTGGATGACGTTTCCACTAACTATAGTTAACTTTAATCACTTTTTTATACAACCGGCCCCTGACCATTAGACCTCCACGTATACTACTAGTAGTCTTCCAGTGATTTAAAAGATAAAATATTTTGATGGCACCATTGAATGAGCGATCGATTTCTTGTTTTCGTATCCTTATAGATTCAATCGTCATAAATCCGGGTTATTCAACAGGTACTGTTCATTATTACTACTGTTATGCGCTAATTGGCGGTAATATTAGCATCGCCAATATGTATATTGATCACACAATAATGTCCAATTTAATATTTTTAAATTAAATAAGCTTCCATAAAATTAACTTCAATGAATATCTTTCGCTAATCTGGTGATTTCCCACGCCCATACATAATTAACAAATTTGATTACCAGAAATATTAGAATAAATTTCCGAGAATTTAAATTTCTCAAATGTCTATTACAGTAAATTTACCAAGTGCACCAACGACGACATTAACAGGTCAGTATATATATATATATATGTAAAGTTTTAAAAATTATTACCAAAGGAAAATGTCAAAATGACATCTGGGGGAAAGGCAAATTGTAAGCTTTATTCTTAGCACGCTGTTACCATGGTAACGGACTTTTTCAATGTTTCCGTTAAATTTCGTCTTGATGTTCTGTGCAATGAATTATTATAATTAATTAATTCCGAATGTTCAGACACGTTTGTAATTGTTATACGGTTTGCCATTACTAGCCTAGTTTTTGAAATGCATTTGGAAGGTTGCATGGGGTTTTGTTGATAGAATTTTTCCTGCAGTTTTGCTTGATTTTAATACATCACCCCCAAATTGCTCGCAAGTTCCCTATTGTACTCTTGTCTCTGTAACTCGGTTGGTTAGAGCGCTGCACCGGAATCGCAGGGCCGTAGGTTCAATTCCTACCAGAGGACCTTGTGCTGCATTTTTCGCAGTCGTTCCTGGTTAGGTCTTAAAATGTATATATACTCACTTGGATTACAAACTCTAACATTCTAATATTTTACTCTTGGCGTTTTATAGCGTTATTCTATTACACTGCATGTCTAATTAAGAGTTCGTAGTATTACTTTCGATTGAGCAAAATTGAAAAAGCTTGATAAAAAGTTTGTTCGATGGTTTTCCTTGGCTTTCACCGGGTGTTTTTATGGTGTGTGTTTCGCTCAAAATGGTCGGATTTTTGCATCTTCCCAACCACAAGAAAAGAGAGCGGTTTAATTATCACCATGTAATCTCATGACACAATTTGGTAAGATCACACCATTTTCAACTGAAAGATCATTTCACTTAACAACTATTTCTTATTTATTTATTTCAGACCAGTTACCAACTTCTTCAGCAATTGCACCAACGCCATCGACTCCAGGTTGGCATAATTTATAACTCGATTAAATTATTGTGTAGATGGCGCGCTCTATTTAAAATTTCCAGGTTAACCCAGAAATAAACTTTTTGAGTGATATTCCTGGTTAAACTTGATATTCCTGGTTATTTTATCTCCTACCATTGTCTGGTGAATGTAACCATGAGGAATCTGGCCATTTAATGTTTAATTCGGAATGCTTCAGTGATAGTCTTTTAAATATATCGTATTTTTTATTTGAAAGGACAAGCTATTGTGTCGTCAACTCAATCACCAGGTAAGCTAAAATTATATTGCAGCATCAATATGATGCGGTTGATATGGCCAAAAATTTAAGACATGCGCCATACTGAGCCATCGTACGCATATAAAAAAACATGGCGCCCGAAAATAGCAAGGAATTACTCTTTCCGTTTCACAAATAGTGTGAGCAGTTTACCCATAAAGAATTTAAACATGTCGACATCTTGCCATAATTGTGCTGCGCGTAATCAAATTATCACTTGAAACAATATATTTGAGATTTCGCTTCGCAAATATATAACCCGTCCAAATAGAATACAAACTTTGGTAAGATCGGCTTACTTTACAAAGCCTTTTAAATTGGCATTTGAAGGGAAATGACAAATTTATGTTTTTTACACCTGTAACGATGAACATAACTGACGTCTCATTTCACACATTGGTATTTTGTTTTGGCAAGTCGCAGCCGTTCGTTTGACTGAAAGGTCAAAAATACCAATTGCTCAACAAACGTTGTTGTAACTTATAAACAGAAAGCCATTGAACCCGTGCAACGCCATGCCTTTGCCTTGATCAAATAATGTTCTACTATTCTCTTCATTTAATTATTCTTCATGATATTAAGTTGAAGTTGATGATCAGAAATTTTGTGTGGACTACACTTCAACAGCGTACAATGTTACTGTTCATCAAACTGTGCATTTGAGTCTTTACTTGGGTCAAATGATAATTACCATAGCTTTCGGTTCCTTACTGTCCGGTAAAGAGCCAAACAAACCTAAAGTGTGCGCAATCATAACAATTAAATTTTTTGTTAAACGTTTTGATGCCTGAGTATGCAGCCAACACTTAATTGTCTACCGTGGGCGCAGGTCGTGAATATTAGTAAATCCGTTTTTGCACGAGTCATTACGGATACTGACATTTTAAACGGTTTAATTAGTAAACGTTCTTTCCGTTATAGATCCATGTTCAACTAATCCCTGTGATGTTAATGCTGACTGTACGGTTGTTAGTACTTCTTACTCGTGCAGCTGCCGAACGGGGTTTTCTGGATCAGGAATCACATGTACAGGTACGTTCGATAGTTTTAAACATCGCACAGTATGTGATACATATCTGATCAATTGCACATCTCTTGACGTATATCATTTATAGACCTGGAGCGAGGGGGATTCGGGGAGATATTATGATATATCAGAGTTGAGAGTATATAACTTTAAACTTGCCACATACTTTCATGCATACGACATTTTATTTCTGCTTAACGCAAGTATTTGACAATCTTTTCTTTCCAATTTCATATCACTCGGAATATTAATGGTAACATTTTTCAAAAATTGCTTCAAAATCTTTTATAAAAACGAACTTTCTTCTATGTTTAAAAACTCGTTAATTTACCTGTGCTTATATCTGTCGGCCATTTTCTTTGCGTGATTGTCACGCGTGGTTTACGCGAATCATATGACCAGGATGATATGATCAAATCACCTGTGTGACATGATTGAAATTATCCGCTATGTCAAATATGATGACATTTGGCGTCATTCGATAATATATTTCATGCTGACGTGGCGCAAACTTAGCTTTGTGATTGGACACTTTCAATTTGATTTATAATATTCTATAAAGAGAATTTGGAAGATTTACACTAATACTGAATCAATATGAACACGTTTTCCGATCAGTTTTCTGTGATGAAAGCGATCAGCGTTGGTGATTAGCTTTAACTCCCGTTGCGTGCATATGCATAGGTAACTTGTTTTGGGAATTTGGATTAAAACAAACACATTGTATCCGCAAATATTTTTTAGTGGATATGCTTTCCGTGCACACGTATCCGCCGAAAACGCACACCGAAACCGCAAACATTTGAAAACGGTCTCCGTGCACACAAAACGAATTAAAATGCCTAAGACTACAGTAGTCGTCTGTTGTGCCTCGTTCGGATGCGTCGTTAGGACGGGCGTAACCGATTTTTATTAATTTACCTATTTATAGCTTCCTGTATATATTTACTGTATGTTGGACATTAAGTCGTTTTAGATGTTTAATTAGTTTATTCACCGTCCCCTTACAGATATAAACGAATGTGCTACAACATCAGGAATATGTGGAAATAACGTGTGTGAAAATAGGTTTGGTTCGTATGTATGCAAATGTCCAGATGGCTCGTTCTTAGTTGGAAATATTTGTGAAGGTTAGTTCGTGTTAAATGAATCAAATTCCTACGGTTGCATCGCCCCCTCTCCCCCCCCCCTCAATCCTCAAAGAATTTTAAAAAAAAAACGACCATAAAAACAGGAGCAAACGCTTCATATCATACTATATATTTACCACATTTGAAACAAATAAGCTCCAATGTTTTGTGTATATCTTGTGCGCAGGAGCACTCGTTGACTGTTTTTTTTTTGTAAATGGCCAATGCAATTGAAATTTCATTTTGTATATGACTGCCAATTGTATTAAATTAACATAGATACATTTACACCGAAAGAATTTTAAACCTTTCGTCGTTAAGATGATATTCATTAGCGCCAATATTATAAAATCAAACGGCAGAACCAAAATATATAGCTATCATTGGTAAATGCCTGCATGGTAATTGGAACCTCTGAGTTCTTTCGTGAAAATCTTCCCCAATTTAATCTTCACTATTAATGTAAATATCATAATGCGCACGTTTAATGTTATGTACATAAATATTATTTCAATCGCAACTCTCCTTGGCGACACTTCACACGGTGAATGTAAAAGGCGGAATGGCATTGCGGAATGGGCATGCGGAATGGATTGCGGAACGAAAAATGATGTAAATTTCGCGACATTTTTAACGTGACAATTTTTGCGCGATAATCTTATGGCAGCATTTCTGAGTGATTTCTCCACGTTTTCGATACATCTTTTCGATAATAACGTCATGGATACTTTTTTTGGCGATAATTACGTCGTGATAAATACTTTTTTGAAAAAACGCAAGGTGATTGGCTGACGATTCGAGAGTGGAAGCTTCCAAGTCAAACACGTAATTATCGGAAGGGTGTATTTTTCAAACGTTATAAAATCCATAATTTTCGGAACTACAAACTCAGGCAACAGGGTCCAGTGGAGGTATACAAGTTTTACAATAAAGGCCAACATTCTACAATAAAGCCTTAGCTATTACTATACAAAAGGATTTATTATTATTTCGAGCAAAAACTGTTAGTATAGCGCCTTCAGAGTGCTTTATCACCATGGCAATGAAATTTACAATGAAATTTACATCATTTTTCGTTCCGCAACCATTCCGCATGTCATTCCTCCTTACATTCACAGCACTTCACATAAGCGGAAGCGCACATCAATTTCCATCAGTATATATACGTATCTTCCTGTAAGCGAAAATTTTAGAATTATTTATTGTATTTTAATTGAAATAGTCTTTAGCAGATGCTGAGTCGAAATACTTGCAGTTGCAATTTTTTGCCACAGCGAACGATTTTATTCTTCTGATGCATGTAAGCGAGTAGAAGAGCTATGAATGTTCTGCACATATGCATTTCGCACTGATCTGACAACTATAGGACTGAATAAAGCATCCGCTATTGATAAAGGAAGCCAATGGCAGCCATAATGGTGTGACCTTCTAAGAGTCTAGTTATCGTTAGGAAAGGATAAACATTACCCGAATAGAAATTTACTAACAGTGGCCTCTCTTCCCCATTAAATTTGCCCGTGCATAACTAATGAAGTTACACCAAGATGGCTGCGCAAATCTCATTATTTAAAACGTTCTAAAGAAATGTGGAAAGCTATATCTTTCAAATTATATAGGAGAAGACACCTATTTTAAACACGTCGCGATACGATTTGTAGGGATTATGAGTTACCAATCTCATCTCATAAATATTCTGGCTTCAAAATGTGCGCATTGAAAACAAAATAATTCTCTATCCAGTTCTAGTATAGTTCGTTTTCAGATCAGTGGTATCCCATCCTCACCTGAACATTGGTAACTCATCCACTCGTTCATATACATCAGAAGAAGAAAATGGACCTAAAATTGCAGCAGAATTGGTGTAAACGGGCCTAAAAGCCTCCCGTAACCGCGCGCGGTTTTTACATGTTTTTTGCATGTCATATCGCACAGAAGTTTCAAGATTAAAATCTATTGAAAAAAAATGGTCATTTATGGTAGTAATGAGAAATCCTTTCTAATACATTCATGCCTGCATGAGCACTTCAATAACCATGTGGTAATAGTTCTTAGTGTTCTTTCACAGAGGCGTTGTCTTATCAGCTTCAGTTCACAATCCTGGAAGGAGCTTCTTATTCAGATGACCTTCAAGATCAAACGTCACAGACATACCAAACATTGCAACAAAATTTGGAAAACGATGTAAGTTCCAGTTTTGCCTGGCCTTAGTTATGACTAGTATAGTTGTAATTTTTACTATAAAGTTCATATTGTTCTTTTTGCGCATAAAGAGTTACTGTGCATAAACTGACTCACTATGTTTCGATCTAAACAATTAATTGGACCATTATTAATTTGTTATTTGAATTGTCAAAACAATTCTAAATAAATTTGTTGAAGCCAAAATTGAAAATATTTGTAAGATTAAACATATTCCCTTCGCGCCTGGGCTTGTGAATTCAGTGGCGTAGCCAGACCTTCATTTTTGGGGGGGCGAAGCGAACGCCGAAGGCGCGAGACCATCTAGGGGGGTCCGGGTGCATGCACCCCCGGGAAAATTTTGAAATCTAGAGTCCCTGAAATGCGATTTCAAGCATTTTGGGTAAAATCTTGCAGAATTCCAAAGATTATAAAGTACATTGAAGACATACATTTTCCCAAACATTTCTAATTTTCTACTCGGAATTAAATAAATTGGAAAAGTCACCTTGAAAAACAGGCATTTAAATCATTCTAGGAGCTATTAGACAGCATTTCCGCATTCTCAAAATTTCGTTGCTTTTTTATACGATACAGAATAAGTCTGAGAAGAATATTCATGCTATGATAATGTATACATGTAAACCTAAACTAAATGTATTCTTCTTGGAACCATATCTACAGCTGCTTTAACGATATTTTACAAATCAAGTTACTCCAGTATATCGTCGTTTTCCTCAGTCGAAACGTACTTAATCAGTTTCAGCTTCGACGATGTATCGCGTACCCCCCCCCCCACACACACAATTTCTCTACGGATTTAGCCTTTTTCAGAGAATTTTTTTTTGCGATTGGGGGGCGACCGCCCCCCCTCGCCCCCCCTTGGCTACGCCACTGCTTGTGATTATGTACTGTTTAATAAACGAGCAGGAGTGTTTTATTAGGTTTAAAGCCACGAGCGCGCAGCGCGAGTGGCTTTAGACCTGATAAAACACGTCCTGCGAGTTTATTAAACGGCTTCAAACACGACTATAAATTCAACAGATATACTTTATTACTATTCTTTATATAAAGAATACTAATTAGGAGTGTTTTATATGGTTTAAAACCACTGCGCATGACATATTATGGTTGACATGATTTGCCAATAAGCTTATGAATTATTGAGTGAAACGTATTAGAAAGTGGAAGCGTATACCATTCAAAAGATTTCATATATCAGTTGAAATTAATGAAATTATGGTTTCATTCCATAAGAAAAAATCAAATAACAGCTTATTAGGAAAGAATTAAAAAAATTTATTGTTGACAATTAGCAAAAGTATCATAATTATGTCCTAAACATACGAAATTGTCGAATGCTAAACGCATGATGCCAAATTAGCTCATCTGCATGACTAATTGTGTAGAGAGCCTTATTTGATCCTTGAACTAACATAGTCATATCCTATTTCAATTAAGGTTAAAGAGAATTTTCAAGCATCTGCACAGTCTTCAAACTTCTTTGGCGTATATTTAAATGGCTTGAGGTAATTTGGTTTGTCATTAATGCATATATTTGCAACAAATCTAGACATATATGTAACCCAAGTAACAGGTATGCAATAATATTGAAAGTCAGAATTCCTCAATATCTTAATGCACTATTTGGTTCAGACACAGAAATTTTATTCTATTGTAAAAAGTGGTTTATTACCTACCAATCTTTTACCATTTCTGCAATATTCGTCCCCCAAATAAAGTTTCCATGTTTGAGATTGTGGGGGAACACCAATGTTGTATACCTTCAATGTACGTTCCCAAGCATTATTTTCATGCAAATTACCGCAGCATGCAATGGTATAAATACGATGTATCAATCCCTTTATAACCCATTGTGAGCATCCAAATCTTCAATGTTCGCTTCTTTGGTCAAATTTTGCTACAATTTTCGTTTGGTTACGTGTAAGGATAAAAACACAGCTGGCTTGAAAATGTGTTCCCGGATTTAATATTTTTTCTTTAAATTTTTTCATTAGCCCAGGCAATGCACAATCGTCTGGTGGAACAGTAATTGCTTCCTTCACAATATTTGTAAACTACAGTGCATCTGATGTCACAACAGACTTACTTGAAACAGCCTTCAACAATGGATTAAGTCAACAAACCGTCGGAAGTACCTCAAATCGTGTTCTCGGATCTGGCTATGTTCTAGCCACAAGCACTGATGGAGTCAACTTTTCTCCTTCAATGGACAATATAGTCGGTAAGAGATCGAATTTTTGCTATAGTACAGTAGTTTAGTGTAAATTCACACTAAAATTTTGAGCATTCGGATTGGCTCCCTCAGCAGTAAGGCCCGTTTCATACGGCGCACTATCGTCGAATTTAATTCAGACGAATTTAATTGAACCAATTAAATGCGACGTTAGTGCGTCGTATGAAACGAATTACATCCGTCTGATGAATTAAATTCGTCCAAGACGTTGTATCCGTCATGGTCAGACGGATACAACGTCTGTAGCGCGTCTTCGTTTCATACGACGTGTTATCGTCGTGTCGAATTAAATGCATAAATTATGTTAAAGTCTGTTTCTCTCTTTCTGGTCTCGTGGTTTTTTACTTCTGGGTAGTCCATGATCGCTAAACATGAAATGAATTCGTCTGAATTAAATTCGTCGTTTGAAACGAAACCATTTTAGTGTCGACCAATTGACGAATTTAATAACGAATTAAATTCGTCTGAATTAAATTCGACGTATGAAACAGGCCTAACTCTGAAGGCTAATTTCCACTCAGGAAAATTATCCTATCCGTGGATTGGAACGGACAAGAAAATTTTTCGTACTATTTAAAGCACGCGTAGGAGTGTTTGATCACTGTAACATCCGGGAGTTAGCACTTCCGGCGGGAAAAACTGGCACCTCGAGGAGAACTAGAGAGCTGTATTAACAAGGGAGTTACTTAGCATAGTTGGGTTTTAAGGTTAAAATACTACAATCACATATAAAACTTGTGATTTCAAACAGGATGAATTCAAACATCATGTTAACCATAATATGTCACGTGCAGTGGCTTTAAACCTGATAAAACACTCCTAATTAGTATTCTTTATATAAAGAACACTAATAAGGCAGTATCTATTGTAGTCGTGTCCTCATTAGTATTTTTTATATAAAGAATACTAATAAGGCAGTAAATCTATTGAATTTGTAGTCGTGTTTGAAGCCGTTCAATAAACTCGCAGGTCGTGTTTTATCAGGTCTAAAGCCACTCGCGCTGCGCGCTCGTGGCTTTAAACCTAATAAAACACTCCTGCTCGTTTATCAAACAGTACATAAAACACGACTACGAGTGCTTTAAATGGCTTTAAAAACGACTCATCTTATACGAGTTCATTGGCGAAGTAATTTTTAAAATAAACTTTGTCTAAACCGAGAAAATCAAAGCTAAAGTTTATGTAAATTAAAATGTTTTTTTATCACATATAAAACCACGACACGCTTATGATTTTTCTTTGTGTTTTCCTCTTGAATTATTAACGAGTTTTTGAATTTGTATTAAAGTCATTAGTTCCAACCCAGAGCTCACAAGAAATAGAAAAATTTTCTTGTCCGTTCCAATCCACGGATAATTTTCCTGAGTGGAAATTAGCCTTGAGGCAATAGTTACTGATGCTCAGACTGCTCTGAGCAGTAACTATTGCTTTTCCAAAAAAATGGCGGCTGAAAATCAGAAATAAAACTTTCTCAATACTGAAATTATACAATTAATTAGTCGCCTCAGGCTCGGTGAATGCAAGCCTATATTCACTTCGCCTTCGGTTCAGTGAATATAGGCTTGTAATCACCTCACCTTCGGCGACTAATTGTTAAATAGTAAATTCGATAGTATAGATACCCGCTTCTTCTGTTCAATTATGTAATCTCTAACATGAAAAACAAACAGATGAAGAATCTATGACCCATTTTTTCCACGAGCGAGCTCCGAATATCTATCATTAAAAGATCTAAAATTTATTTTAAACCCGGTTCCGTGAACCCTTTCTGCTTTAACGAGGAACGGAATGAGCAATGACGTGCTTGGAAGAGACAAAACTTCCATTTTGTCAATCATGAATTTTAGTACAGTATTAAATAAATTATTATCACCATCTAATTGACCCATTCTAGGTGAGAAATGGTTGTTTTCCCTCCCATGGAGGGAATCAATAGGAAATCAGCACACTAGGACAATCACAATAGGAAATCAGCACACTAGACATATAGAAACATGTAGCATATCTTGTAAGACTGTGTGAATTTCACAGACTCGGAAGCAATATTTCTTGGTTTGGCCAATAAGTAGACTAGTCTGTAATTATGATCGTTCGCATCATTCATACTTGAAGCCACACGCATACTGTACATTCATTGCATATTTCCCGGTATTTCAGTTGATATCAACGAGTGCTCTCAAAGCGTGGCAAAATGTGGAGAAGGTCAAATGTGTGAAAATTATCCTGGCACATATCGTTGTTACTGCAATAGTCCTGGAACCTATCTAGTTGGTGGAAACTGTGAAGGTATGCAAGATTCTATATTTGTTTGTATAATTCAGCATTTTAAATGAAAATTAATATAGAACTGATGGCCCTAACCAAGGAATGATCAATTTAAATTCTATTTTGCTCCCGGTTATTTGTGATCGTTAATCAAACTCAATTCTGTATAAGAAATATCATCGTTGAACTTGATGCCCACCCAAACAAGTTGTAACGCTTTGACCATAGGCAATAGAATAAAGTAGGTTAGGAAACTCGATGCAAACACAATAGCTGTAGATCTCATTATCTGGTGTGTCTTGGTGCATGCATATATGCACGCAATGATCATTATGACCGGTTAATGGTCACGTGCGTATTGTATTTTCGCCCAACCAACCAATGGCAATGTTTTGGTTTAATTATGAACTGCCTGTCCCATGTAGGTAGTGCCAATGATATGAACATTAAGCTTTCGTTGGTAGGGATGTTACTACCTGAAAAATATAAGGAGAATTTTGATGTTTTGAGCGACGGCTTAAAGATTATTTACCATTTGAATTCGTTCTACAACGAAATAGTTCATTCAAAACCTTGCTGTTGGTTGACTTTGCGAAAAAGCAATACACCGTGCACGTGACGATGAAATGAAGTTCGATTGTACGTTTGGATAAACTAAGACAAAAAACATAGATAAAGAGGCGTACTACATGTCTCCATAATACATGTTTATGTTTTAAATTTTTTTAGGTATAATTCTGTAATAAATTAATTTATTTAGCAATAACAAATGTATTCGAATCATTTCTTCATTTAGATATTCTGTCCTATGAGGGTGGATTTGTTGTAATCAATCGTGAATTTAAAATTAACTACAATGACACAAATAGCATTGAATATTTGCAATTTGCTGAGGAAGTGGCGGAAGTTGTAAGTGTTTGATTTCTTATATGCACCAAAAATCAAACCTAATTTTAGTGGTGTCGTGATAACGAATTTTCACAGTGATAAAGTGAAAGTGAGCAGTAATCAACTGCAAAATCTGCAGTGATAACAAATTTTTAATAATTAAATTAAATAAGGTAAACAAAGATATTTCTAGTGTTTCTCAAGGATTTGTGTGTCATAAAAACAATGGTCATTTTCTATAAATAAAATGTCTTAGTTTCCATGGATTTATTAATTACAATTTATTAATTCTCTTTCCCAGGTGAAGGAATATTACATGAAAACTCAATTTGCTCCAAACCTAGTTGGAGTTAGAGTCATTGACCTCTAGTAAGTGGCTGGTATTTGGATAATTATAAAAGCCTAGTAAGGTTTCAGAGAAGGCGTGGTGCGGTACTATCATGCTTGCAGATAAAATTCCACTAGGCAATCTGAGGAAGACGTTTACCGATTGTATTTATTTCATCAGGGAGACCCAGTTCAGGTGGTTAAATACGCCCTTCACATAAACATAAAATGAATGGGGGGTTGGATAACAAGCTGGACGAAAATGAGATTTGCACATGAATAAAAAAGTAATGGCTTTTTATATGGGCAAGACGGGATTGCGGGGACTCGAACCGTCCTGACCGCGTAGCTCAGTTGGAAGAGCATTGGGCTAGTATTCCAAAGGTCGTAGGTTCGAATCCCGCCGTGGCCAGGCATATTTTTCAAGCCTGCCCGGTGTGGATACTCATTCAGAGTAACATCACACAAACAACTTTAAGCATATTTGTCAAATCAGTTGTTCTTGAGTTTTGGAGCTCTCCTGGAAAATGTCGTATTGCCAAACCTAAAACGTGCTAAAAGCAAGAACCAGTCGCCAGTTTAAGAAGAAAAAAAATCGCTGAAAAAAAGCTAAGAGCTGTGTTTATCTTGGAAATGAAAACTAGAAAACGTAAACTGTAACTGTTTAGATGCGTATTTTTGGACAATTATTACTTGTTGAAAAACAAAATGTACCTCTCCTATATAAAGCAACATCTAAAAAGTTTGAATTGTGGTACAAAAGTTACGCAATTGCCGTTGCTATGGCAACAATGACGTTTCAAGATGCCGGATATTTTGGCTTTAAAGTAATTTAACTCGTAAACGGCATCGGTGACCTCCAAATTTTATTTTAAAAAATGATTTCACGTAGTATAATCGATTATTTTGACAATTTAAAAAAATATGAAGCAAGAAAAAAATTATTGTGAATAATCACCTTTACGTAATTTAAAAAATTTCGGCTCCACAATTTTTTTTTCATTCACCAACGTAATTCAATATACTAAGACAAACCATTTTATGAATTAAAATTTGGGGGTCACCGATGTCGTTTTCGAGTTAAATTACTTTAAAGCCAAAATATCCGCCATATTGAAACGTCATTGTTGCCATAGCAACAGCAGTTCCGTAACTTTTGTTCAAAAATTCAAACTCTTTGGATGTTGTTTTACATAAGTTCGATGCTTTTTGTTTTTGAACAAGTAATACTTGTCCAAAAATACGCATCTAAATCGCAAATTTTCCATTTTAAAAAACTGTATTGAGCCACCTTAACAATAATTTATATTAAAAAGATGCAAACTTTTAAATTGATGTATTATTGTGTATTTTTCATATCAGCCCAGGATCTGTTGGTGTCAAATACATAGCACTGTTTAACCCAACAACTACTGGAGTTACATCAAGCACCTTAAGATCAGAGTTGGAACCAGAGTTGGATATCGTAAACAATGAGAAATTTATTGGATCACTTCAGCTTACAAAGATCGACGGAGAGAATGCTTTAACGTTTTCTGGTAATATAGTTCGCTGTAGCTATTTCTGTAATTAGCTGACCCTGATTGTACATTTGCATGCCCAATTCTTACCCGCACTTACAGAAGCTTACACGTGCGTAGAGGTAAAAATTAAAAATTTCCAACTCTTCAAAATAATAATGCCTTTTAAGGCATAATATCACGAGAATTACTGAGTTTCCACGGCTGTAAGGGCTGTTGTATATGGATATGCATTTCCTTGATGGCGGGATTCACAATAATGATTTAAATACGTATACTCGTATAAGCGTAGTTTACGTCAATATATGAGCAATTCTATACCTAAATGTCGGACAGACAGCTACAAGTGACAGTGTTCTAAGTCTTCTAACTTATCAAAGATTAGTTTACGTCATACGTGCACAGTAATATATTGTACTTTTTAATATTTGAATGCTAATTAAATAATTTCTAGATACCTGTATAACATTTCATATTTTGTATATACATATATATATATATATATATATATATATATATATATATATATATATATATATATATATATATATATATATATATATATATATATATATATATATATATATATATATATATATTAAAATTAACAAAAATATCCGAAAATGTAGACGAAGTAGCGTACACGATTTTATTATTAAGTTGTTTCCAATGTAGTAATTACACAATTGTTGTAGAGATAAAATAGGCTCAGTAAGTAATTACTGAATGTAGGTAAACGTAATACTTGATGTAAAGCGCATTTTGATCATATCCACATGTAATTTTGCGCTATAGAAATTTTAATCGTAATCGCATCACGGGCGATCACCTATTAGCTATTCTTAATTTCTAACTCTGTCGCTCATTTTATGTACTTTACAGACTATGATGAATGTAACCCGCCAGAAAATATTCATATTCCTGACTGTGGACCTAACGCAATGTGCACCAATCTTGATTCAACTTACAACTGTACTTGCCTTGAAGGTTACATAGGCGATGGAGTAAATTGTGCTGGTAAGATCCTGTATTTTCGGCATGCATTTTATTTTCTTTGCGCTAGCTAAAAAACACGTTGGGGTAGATCAGAGTACGAGCACATGAAACCGCTATACCAACCAAGCAGTAATATTTTCTTCAAAATTCGCCGTTCTTCAGTATTAAAGTTTACATCCATGTATAGCAACCCTTGCTATACTTTCTATAAGCAAAAATAAATAGTTACCAGCGTGATGTAAGTGTTTCTTTAAAACCTTCCAAGCTTCGCATGTTTTATAATATCGATCATTTCCTTTCTGCATGACCGTCGCCATATTTTTGAAGTCAGTGATCCTTTATTTTTTCCAATCATTAATGAACTTTAGACCTCGTTTACACGGTACCGGACGAGTTTGGGACCGGTCTGAAATTCGTTCTTTTTCGCCTGTTTACACGCCTGTTTACACTGTTTCAGAAATTTCATCTCGATTCGGGTATTTTAAGGTTAAAGAACCTCTAGATATGTTTGGCGCCGGTATTTTGAAAGAAGAACAATGCGAAGCATTTGCTGGATAAATTGTCATAGATAACTTCAGAATAAACAAGAAACAAAAACATCTTAATTACGTAGAAATTCCTTAAACGGTTTGATTTCTTCAATTTAAAAAATCCTTGAGAGGTCCAAAATTAATGTCTCAGTTTCACGAAATTTCCTTAAACACGTGCATGCATGGAAACCAGGGACATAGCGAAGCATCTGAAGTTGGGGGAGGGGAGTGTCGGAGGATTTTATCTGAAATTTGAACTTCACTGTTACAAACTTACCTGAAATCTATTAATTATAATAGAGAATATTTTGATTTTCAGTGTCATACTAGCTAAGTTCCTGAAGAATTAAGAAGGGTGTCTGGGGGTCGTCCCCCAGAACATTTTTACATTTTTGAAGCTCCAGAACAGCATTTCTGGCCTTTTCTAAGGCAAATCATATTCACAAACGTATTGGATATAAATTGACTGTATTTTACAAAAATGGTTTTCATTTCACAAAAATAACGACATTTTTACGCACATTTTACCTGAAAATCTCAAAATTTTAACTTGAATTTCACCTGATGTTTACCTGAGTTTCACCTGACGTTTACCCCCGGTGACTACGTCCCCGATGGAAAACGAAACTATCGTTTCTTTTGCGCGTGCTTGGTGCTGATTTACAAAAAAGTACCTGACCGACCGAATATTTTGATTAATCGCGCAACTCTAATGCCTCAACATCACGATTAGCTTTAATGTTTTGCCAACTTGTCATCAGTATCAAGCCGTTGAAACTGCATGTATTCTTCCATATTTAACATTTTGTTCAAAACGTTTCTTTGCAATTCTTGGGATTCATATGACGTCATAAATTTGAGGTGGGCTCAACTCTAAATCGAGACACAGTCATCAGAGTGAATTAATTGTTTACTGTATGTGTTGGCCTTGTGTTTGGTGGCAAATGCATGCAATTTCGTATCAATTGCTCACTCCAGTACAGCATAAGCATCAATACATTTTAGGTTGACCCCCTGTCAGATTCACTGCAAAATGCCGTAGTGAAACCCAAGAATAGGGTATGCCTTTACAGTGGTGTATCGGTTTCATTAACATACATCTACTCACTACTTGTTTTTTTTTCAATCTAGCTCTTCCAGAGTTATTACAAGGTAAGATTACACCAAAAAGATGGTTTAGTTTTAAAAAAAATGCTTCACATAGCGCAGCGCATGCACTCATGCAGTAATTTAATTGGAAAAATCGGTACATTTTTTAGTAAGAAAATCAAAATGCGTTGCATTCCGTATTTGTGATGAAATAAAATGCATTCGGTTAACTTTGGTCAGCAGTATCCCTAACAGCAGCAGTTTCCTATCATGTTAGAGTAACGATCAAACTCTACATGATATCATTTGCGTTAGTGTATAGTGTAGTGGATTTGGATTGTAGATTCATGCATCCGGCATCATTGTTTGTGAATGCTTACCCTATATAATTAATATTTAGATGGGTTGCATGGAATGGACCATTTGCATTATAAACTAAATTTTGATCTAAACAAGTCTAGACAAAAATTCCATCACAGCTTAAAAGAACATCACAAAATTAGTAATATTGCAAAGTTTCGTTGCGAAATGTTGTAAAATGCGGATAATATAGCCTTGCGGTGAACGATCAAGAAACGGTGGTAGGGTTTGTATTTACTTGCGTAGCTCCATAAATTACAAAGTAAGAAATGATCTTGTTCCCACTGAACACGAAGCTGTCTGTGTTGAAATTATTAATTTAGCCGCATATGATGTAGCAAATCATTTCTTGTTACCACAGTCTATAGACCACCCAGTGCATTATCAGAATTCTTTGATCATTTTGAAAAATTGATCAAAGCTGTTGATAATGAAAATAAACTGAGAAATGTATATCCTGGGTGATCTAAACTGTAATATGCTAAAAACAAATAACGATTCAAATATTCCAACAAAGAAAATAAAATCACTATATGAATTATACCAATTAACACAACTGATAGATAAAGCTACTCGAATAACTCCAAAATCCACCAGTCTTATTGATCCTATTGTTACTAATATGCCAGAGAAAATCTCTGATTCTGGTGTCATTCACACAGGTATTAGTGATCATAGCTTAGTATTTGCAATCAGGAAAATTTCTGTTGTTACAAAACAAGAAAATACTTTTGAAATTAGAAACATGAAAAATTTTGATGAAGGAAAATTTATTGAAGAACTGCTAAAACAACACTGGGAATATGTGTATTTCTTTGCTGATGATCCAAATGCCGTGTGGGAAATTTGGAAAAATTTATTTTTTGAAGTCCTAGACAAACATGCACCACTTCAGCAAAAGAAGATAAGATCGAAAAAAGTCCCTTGGATTACAAGTGATATAAAGAAAATTATGAATACAATGGACAAAGAATGATTGGTTACACTTTAAAACAGCTAGAAATAAAGTAAATATAGAACTAAGAAGTGCCAAAAAAGATTATTATTTCTCGATAATAGCTGGTCAAAAAATCAATCCCAAGAAGGCTTGGAAAAGTATAAACAACTTGTTAGGTAGGCAAAACAAACCAACAGTGGTAAATGAACTAAATGTAGGTGAACAAAATTTGACAAGTCCTGAAGATATTGCGGAGGAATTTAATGAATATTTTTCAAATATTGGCCCAGATCTAGCAAGTAAAATAGCTTATTCAAATTCCAATTTTGAAACGTATGTCAAAAATCTCAATCAGAATTTGCTGCTTTCCAACCTGTTACTGTCAGTCATGTCTCTCATCTTTTGCATGGACTTTCCAACCATAAAGCCACTGGCATCGACAAAATCTCTTTCAAATTAAAATTATTAAATTAGCTGTACCTGTCATCTCAGATTCACTGACACTTATTTTCAATCAGGCAATTACTTTATCTTCTTTTCCTAATGAATGGAAGGTAGCTAGAGTGACGCATCTATATATATAAAAATGGCCAGCGTATTATTCCTTGAAACTACAGACCAATATCAGTTTTAACGGCCATTAGTAAAATTATGGAACGGATATTGTATGATCAACTGTATAACTATTTAACAAAGTTTGAGCTTCTCAGTGATTCCCAATTTGGATTTCGAAAATTTCACTCTACAGCTATAGCGCATTACTGTATTAATGATTGGTATGTAAATCTAGACAGAAAAATGTTTAACCTAATAGTTTTAATTGATTTGAAGAAAGCCTTTGATGCTGTTGATCATCAAATTCTGCTGAACAAATTAGAGCTCTATGCAATGAAAGGACAAGCTCTAACTTTGCTCAAATCCTATCTCACAAACCGAAACCAGAAGTGCCAAATAAAAAACTCATTTTCATCTGAGCGCTTGATAAAATGTGGTGTACCACAAGGCTCTCTCGTGGTTGTTTGCTGATGACACAAATTTGACTGCTTCAGCAAATTCTATGACTGATCTAGAGACTGCAGTAAATTACGATTTAGAGAACCTTAGAAAATGGTTAATAGCCAATAAACTTAGCCTCAATGTAGCTAAGACAGAGTTTGTGTTGATTGGCTCTAAACCTATGATCAAAAATATTCTGATTCTTTTCCAAATGTTCACATTGAAAATATACAAATTAAACAAGTTCATGAATGCAAAACTCTAGGAGTAACAATTGACCAGCATTTATCTTGGAAAAGTAATACCAAAAATATTTGCAAAAAAGTTACAGCAGGAATCTCTGCTATTTGTCGGATCAAACCATTTGTTGATCAAGATACACTTATTTTGATATATAACACTATTTTTCGTCCGTACTTTGACTACTGCTGTGAAGTATGGGATGTATTTGGTGAAACTCAATCAAAACGACGGCAAAAACTGCAAAATAGAGCGGCAAGAATTATTCTGAATATAAGCAATGACGTAGATAGTACGATTGCTTTACGTACTTTGGGCTGGGAGCCACTCCAAACTGAAAGGAAGAAAACTAAAGCAAGAATGATGTATAAGTTATTATTATAAACAAAATGGGCCCAAAATCACTCATTTTCGTTTAAGAGTGAGAAAACTAATTACCACCTTCAAAATGTCTCAAGTGGTCTTTATTTACCAAAACCACGTACAAATAGCATGAAAAATAGTTTTATGTACGACGGAGCAAACATTTGGCATTCTATACCAAAAGAAATTAGGGAAAGCAAGTCACTTTCTTCCTTTCGAAATAAAATCGCTGCTCACATTAGTGCTTGGTAACCTTTGTAAATATAATTTACCTGTAAATAGCTGAAACATTTGTTATATCTTTTAAATTTATATATTACTGTAAATAGCTTAGCTTATCATCATCATGTTCTGCATGTAAAATAATTTTCTGGCACACGCCCCCCGTGGAAATCAGCTACGGTTGGCGGGGTCAGCGTGGATAAATAAAGTTCTACTACCACTACTACCGTTTTTCAGTCATTTTGCATTACGCGGGGGAAATTGACAGCCCAGTACCCTTTGGGGCTGTCAATTTCCCGTTTGTAATGCAAAATGACTGAAAAACGGCAAATTCGCAAGGCAATATTATCCGCATTTTACAACATTTTGCAACGAAACTTTGGAATATTACTAATTATATTAAATCAGAATTTAATTTTTATTGTATACTCTATTTCTTAACATTTAGCCGATAGAGACGATGTTATGAAAGTGAAATATATGATCAGTACTTTGCTTGTTTTCCTGGCATTGTGTATCATATTCTCCATCGTATTCATAATACTCTCAATTCAACAGTAAGTAAAATTATATCAGAAGGTGTGAATTTTTAACCCGAGTGGACTGTAGAGAATTTTCAAGTAGAGAATAGACAATTTAGTAGAGAATTTTCAAAGTGGCCATGAAACTAAAATTTATTTTCCCCTATTAACTCATATTATTTTGGCAGAATATTTACCCCGTTATTCCCATATACCCGCGCGTGCGCTTTGCGTTTGACCGCAACGTTGCTCCATGAATTGTTAATCAGTATGTATACCAATCAGAATTCAACAATTTTGTCATGGAAGCATTAAATTTTCTACGAAACCAATATCGTCAAATGTAAATTTGTCATCATTTTTAGGATTTTAGAAAGAAGAAGATTTTATCGGCTATCGAAAAAGGTTGAACGCATTGAACTGCAGAGCAATAACGGCTATACCGATTCAATCACGGTACCAAGTTACCAAAGAAGTGCAGCATTGTCTAATTACTACGAATATTAGTTTACCTCCATAAAGTACTAATAATAATATAATAATATCATATGTAAAATGATGTAATTCTACATGAAGCAATTTGTTCAAGGCCAAGATAGAGAAAAGCGGATGCAGTGTGACCAGATTTGGTAAAATAGTTTCCTTTTGGTAAAATTTCGTCAACTTTTTCAAAATTTTTAATAGTAAAGTTTTTTTAGTAAAATTTTGGTAAGAAGTTGAAAGATTTTATTAATTCAATACTTTTTTGGTAAATATCCGTGTTTGGATGGCAATCTTGCGTAATAGAGATGCTAAAACGATTAATTAATAAAACTCTCTATAGCCAGTAGAACCCAGTGATTAGGAAATAGTGAGTTTTCAAGGCTAATCTATTTAACCTAATTGGCTTGGTGAAAACCAATGGTAACTCTAATAATTGTTTTTCACGAAAACATTTACCTGCATGCATTAAGTTAATACTTATTAGCATAACTGCTGGAAAATCTGGTCACACTGAGCGGAAGAGCGAGTTGAATAGACACAAATTAAACAATACAGCGCATTATAATTATTAAACATTAAAATTATTATCGCGTTAGTTATAGTCATTGCAGATTTGATTGTCACCATATTGAACATATGCGTCATGCCGTTATTCTAGTAACACATAATTATGCCATATAATATATGAAATTATTCACCATATTATATTTCGATTATGTGGTTATTCCACGAATGTTCGTAATAATTACATTTTAGAATTTCAAAAAAATGATTTTTGTATAGCTCAAATTCTGCAATATAATGTTCGCCTTTTTCATGATTCGACTCTAAGCATGAAAAAAACTCGAGGCGAATGTATACCATCGTGACGCCAGGTGGGGAACGTATCAAAATAAAGCACATTAGAATTATAAGAGTTTCGTGATAAATAATCCTTTTTAGTACGAGTCGTGGCAGCTGCTCACGACTTTTCGAGCTCGATTGGAAGCGAAAATTTTGCCGCTAACATTTGGTTAGTATGACGTCACGTGCGAAATGATAGCAAGGTGTCGTGTAAAGGCTAACCTGCGAGTAGGTTCTATGGTTGAAATAGAGCCTGCTACTGAAGTACGTGAATAAATGTTTGAACAATGATTTGCATACTCTTAGCACAAAAATAGCAACCAATCAAACGCGACGGCGATCGTTAATTAGATTTTCAAAGTTAATTCAACACATGACGATACAGCCAATTTCCCCGCTTAATTGACTTTTCCACAAATTATATTGGGGCAACTGATAAAAGGAGAATAGTAGTCGGCGAATAGTCGCGAATAGTGAGAATAGTCGACAAATAGTTGACGCATGTGAACTATATAACTACCTGTTCTGTTAAATTGCTAACTTTCACTTAATAATAATAATAATATGTAATATAATAACCACTTCATAATAATAATAATAATAATATGTAATATAATAACTTGTTTAAATAGTTATTCTAAGATTGTGATTAATAATATGAAAGATATTGGTGAAATTTTTATTCCCATATATAAGTCTGAAATACCAATTGGGATAAACTCTGTCGCGCATGCGCATGTAAAGACGTTTATGTGCACAAAGACGTTTATGTTTACAATGTGCGCATATATGCATGATCAGGAAATTGTACATAAAATGGTTACAGGAAACATACACGTAGCATAAAACTTTTTATTTTAATTATTACTAATCACCCTCTAGTTAAACAATTTATACAAGGCGTAACTCTTCTTAAACAACATTTGTTCTCGTTTTGGGAAGGCATTGCATGCAGCACAATGGCCACAAAAACATCATTCAGGACTTTCATCTGGTGGAGGATCTGGATCATCTAGATGTGGCAGTTGCCTTTGCAATTGTACAACTGGTAAATTCACCATTCACCAATTAAGCAAAACGTGGCCGGCTGTCTTCGAAGCAATTCCAGTGCCAATCTTCTCAATGCCTCCAAACCCATATTTGCAACTAAATTCTAGCAAAAAATGCATATACACTTTCAATATAGATTTAAGTTGACAAGATATGATTCTCGCCACAACCTTGCCATTTTAGCTGAACAGCACAATTTTGTTGATGCGCGAAAGCTCTTTAGTTACATGTTCTGAAACACAAATGAATCAGGGGTTCAGATATCAATACACCCTAAGATTGAAATATAAATATACTGATTTGATACTGAAGGTATATTGCAGCATCTAGTGAAATATATATTGACCACCCACAGATCACATTTTAGATGGTAACCCCAATATAATCATATATACAGGACATCTACATACAAATACAGCGCCAATTTATAACAGTACAACAAAATCTGTATCTACTACAAAATTATACGAACAAATGCGAAAAGGAGTATTTTTTAACTATGAGCTACTATACCTGCAGCTGTTGTTCGTGGTCCACCACACGTTATTCAGCGTTTTAATTTCTTCAGCCTGTAATTAGAAACCTTACAATTTTAGGACGGCAACGCGACGGCGACGGCCAAAACAAACTCCTTCAAATAATTGGTATTAAAGATAGTTTGTCGTATATTATCAATCGTATGAATTTAATACAGTCTTAGAAATTGAAGATATGGGTTTTATGGTTGGGAAGGGTTATGCTAAACCCAGTTTGAAGTTGCACTTAGTTGTGGCTTGGAATGCAGCCGTTGTATCAAGACGTGAAAATATGTGATTTAGCGTTGTAAACAGAGCGAGGACAATGTCTAAATTTTTTATTTATTGTAATTACTCAATTATTTTCAATGATCTATTGTAATGGTAGCCGTTGCCGTCGCGTTGCCGTCCTAAAATTGTAAAGTCTCTAATGTCCACGACCTCTACTGCGACCTCTAGCTCTCGATCCACGTCTGGTTTCTGAGGCAGTTTCATGACCCTGAGGCCGAGAAGAGGTTTCGCCAATCAGTTTCTTTGACCGCGTGCACGCCCCCTCGCTCGGTTCCTGAATGTTATAAGACTCATCACTATCATTCTGGTATGCTCCCTGAAATTCTAACATATACATTTCAAAAACTAGAATCCGGGAGCACGTATTAAATACAGAATTTCTTACATATTTTCAAAACGTAAGTACCTGTGTTTCACCTTCAGATGTTTCACTTGAAATATCTGTATCACTTTGTAAGTTGCGCCGATTCCAACACGAAGTAGGCCTACTGTCTGGGTGGCAAATTAAACAGATGAGCAAAACTGTCCTGCTTTTTTTCACGGAAAGCATTTCTGCCTTTTTCTCTCAGGCACATTTCTCTACATGAACATTCTGTCATGTGTTTGTCCCCATTGGGAACGCCAGCGATTTCCTCAATTGCACTGCGCTCTATTTCATCTGCTGTGCTGTTTTTTGTCTGCTGCAAGTTCGTGACCAGTGGCGTAACCACGGGGGGGGGGGACGAGTCCCCCCCTCCCCACTCTCCTTCAGAAGCACCTTCGAGATATGTTTAAATCCGTTGAGAAATTGGGGTGGGGGTGGGGGGTTAACACTGATCCGATTTTTAGCTAAAAACAGATAGCTACCATTATAAATAGATAGACAGTTCTTGGAAGACATTAGGAAAATTACATATAGTTCAAAGTCGTAAAATGTATTATTTTTCGTGTATTTTATGTTATAATCTTCTGAATTTTGTAAAATCTCACCCCAAAATGCAGTAATGCACGAAATGGCGTTTCATAGGCTCTGAATTTCAAAATATTCCCGGGGGAGCATGCCTCCGGACCCCCCTATATTGTTCGCGCCTTCGCCGCTCAACTTGTCCCCCCCCCACACTTTGTAAACCCTGGCTACGCCACTGCTTTCGTCCGTTGGCTTGCGCTATAGTTTCGGCAATCAAATGCGGTATGTCCTTTTCGGACTAGCAAGGCCAGCTTCGCCAGGTGGCATTTCATTTCACTTCCCAATCGGGAAGCGAAAAGTATTGTAAACCGACCACACACGTCAATAATAAAATCCAGGTGAGAGTGGCGTGAGACCGAGAAGATAGTAAACACTTCGTGTAAAGCAGTTATATTGTATCAAAACAAAACAAAACAAAAGATGTAAACAATGCGCAGAAATGATGCGCAGAACAGACTTGTTCGCCATTATTGCCATTTTTTACCATCATTATAAATTTTGTAATTTCTTCAAAGCGAAATTTGAAAGAAAGACAGTTAGAAACGTTCCCAGACCAAACCAAATACGAAATTTCATACCAAAACTGAAAACTGCCAGTTTCTCCCGCATTTACGTACACGCTTATCAAATATGCAAACTCGAGACGACTTGGCTGCAAAATTATTTCACATGTGGAGCGTCCATGTTTTTAAATGAAAACATGGTTTCAGTTGCACTTACTAATTTTGTGCTGTTTTGCAATGCTGAATTACAGAATGTGGAAACATTCAGAAAGTTGCAGCTGTATAAAACACACACAACGATTCCTGTATTTTCCGGTACGCACTATATAAATGCTTTAGCCTCCTCCACACGCATCTTGTGGTACTTACCTAAAATCGGTTCCCAATCAGAAAAACAGTTATTTATTTGAATAACTAAAGAGATGCCTGCGGAGGAGGCTAATAAATGCTTAATGCGCACGTTTCCGCAAATAATGGCATAATGGTAATGGCCCACCTGCCCGCATCAACTTTAGGTGAAGCTCCGGATGAGAAACTAAAATATACAACAAATAGTGGCCTAAGGGAATGGTATAACGGCCGAAACTGTCACAGGAGCCCACCCCGGGTCTTTTTGTAGCTCAGTGTTTATAATTTACATATGGAAATAGATACTCAGTAGCTCAGTGTTGAAGAGCAGGCCTGTACCCAGCCGCAACATGCATGCGGGCCTGCCTTTAACACTGAGCTATAAATTTACATGTGTAATGCTATAAACACTGAGCTATAATAAGACCCGAGGTGCATGGGCTCCCTGTGATCTGGCATGAACATTAACGTCGATGGTAACAATAGTTATATTTAGTGTAAACGTCAGAAAATCAGGATTTCAATTTTCTCGCGAGACTATTCCCACGCGTGGAACAAATACTCTCTGTGTACCTTCCGTCTGGAAACGACGTGAGAATAACGTACGACTAAATCAACTTCACATTCTACTAACAAGTTAATAACTGTAGGGAGCCTCCATAAATACATTAGAGCAATTTAGGAATGCAATTGACCATTTGCGTAATAGACTAAATTTTGATCTAAACAAGCTTGAAAGAGCATCACAAAATTAGTAATATTCCAAAGTTAGGTTGTGAAATGTTGTAAAATGCGGATAATATAGCCTTGCAAAGTTTGCAATTTTCAGTCATTTTAGATTACAAACGGGAAATTGACAGCCCCAAAGGGTATTGGGTTGTCAATTTCCCGTTTGTAATCTAAAATGACTGAAAATTGCAAACTTCGGAAGGCTATATTATCCGCATTTTACAACATTTCGCAACGAAATTTTGGTATTTTACTAATTTTGTGATGCTCTTTCGAGCTGTGATGAAATTTTTGTCTAGATCAAAATTTAGTCTATTACGCAAATGGTCAATTAGAAGACATGACCTGGAAGCCAAGGTTTCACTAGACAGAAAATTTTGTATTATTTGTCATGACACTTCATGTATATATAATATTTATTAGTAGTTGTAGGTTAGGACATATATTTATGTTGATTTGATAAGTATATTGTGTAGAATTATGTACATTTTATAAGTGTCCTTATTTAATATATCAATAAAGTTATTATGATTATTAAAACATAAATATGCAAAATGTATGAATATGGCAGCCATATTGGACACACGAATGTCATTCGGAAAGAAATAAAAGCTTGAGGAGAATGACGTACATGATTGGGAAAATCCAGCCGTTAAAAACGACGTCTAAAATATACGTCAAACAACTGACTCACATGTCACGTGCCTCCTTGCGTTTGACGTTTGAATGAATAAAAACTATAAAATCTAAGTGTCTCTATTATGGATATATAGATATACTTTACTCCAGCTTGCGAATTTATTTAGGAAGTGCATGGATATAAGAAATAATACTTGTACGTGGATTGTGGAGTATTCAAACCATGCTTACTGTGTACAACTTGCGCAAATTATTAATCCCAAATCTCATAACGGGGAATGATCTAACCCCAAGGCTCTGGCTCAACGTGCCAGCCTTGTGACAACTGAAATGTTGGCAGGGTAGACCTGATTGACATAGTCTCATATGAAACACTCAAATGGAGAAATACAGTCCACATCGCGGGTCAATTTCAACAAATTATTTGAATTTCTTTAAGCACAAGTATTATTCCTATTTCGTTGAAGACAACAAGCTATACTGGGCTAGCCAGAGTTAGCCCCATTAGCTTCGGTCACGACGGATGGGGCGGTTTCTTCGTTCGTATCTACCAGTTCAACAGCTTTCTTTATTGCTTCAAACAAACAATTCCCAGCAACATAATCGTTATCGACCAAGTTGACCAACAGGTAGCTGTCATGAATTGTGTCAATAATTTCACGTGATTTGGATCCCTCTGGATATACCCTTGCCCACTGTTGCTTCCATAGAGCAAATGCTTCATCCTGAAATAGGGAAATACAGTATGTGTTAATAAGTGGATAATTTAATATCTGACTGAAAGAGCGATATGCAGCCCGTCTTGATGTATAATTATTAATATCCAATAATACTATATTAGCATACATGTAGGTATAATGGTATGGTTCCGAGTGCAATTTTAAAAACTCGCGAGTGTATATGTTTTCCCAAATTGCACGAGAAACTATATAATATTACTTATTCATTAAATAATATACAGGGGGTGGACAAAACAGTGCCCCCCCCCCTCCCCAATATAAAATAACATACAAATATCTGGTTCTTTTTCGCCAAGCATTTATGACTTGGATGATAATTCAAGTCATAAATGATTTAACAAATGTTGATGAATTTCTAGCCAAAAGCAGCCATCTTTTAATTACATTTAAACTGAATGAAAAAGAATGACATTTTTTATTCGTATTGATAATACAGTAGTGCGGTTTCGAGTGCAATTTGAAAAACAAACCATGCACGAGTGAGTTTTTCGGAGAGATCAAAATTGCACGAGTCCAAAGGACGAGTGGGATTTGAAGTCTTTCAAAAACTCACGATATTCACGAGCGATTTTCCGGGCGGGAAACGTAATCTTATAATGAATATAAGAGCCTAGCATAATGCTTTAAATAGAGCCATACACACAAATATATACATATGAAAGTTTTAATAAAAGTGACGTTTCGTCATAACCCAAGACATCTTCAGACTAACAGTAAAATGACAATGATAATGATTATGAATCAGTTAAGTTACTTTATTATTTATTTAAAAAATTCCTGGTTTCTGATTGGCTAACAGCCAACTGTGAAATTGTCATGTGGATTGAAGCACGCTCCAACATGGCGGCTGCAAAATTTCGAGCTCCGTCAAATTATGATTTAAAAATGTTATTTATTGTCTGAAAGAAGTCACCTCTACAAACAAATTTGATCTTAATTGCTACATAGTACTTTGTTCTCACAAATTGCGGAAAGAAGAAAGCTGATTTGGTACATGAAGCGAATTATTCAACGATTTGGTGAACAATTCTACACGATTTGTTATACATGTCACATTGTTAATATTGCTAAATAACGTGATGATTGACGGTGGCTTGATCGACGATGGGGTCAGGGACAGTGTTTTTCCCTTGATTGATGGGAAAAATATTGATGATTTAAAAGTAGTCGACTTGAAGAAAGCATTGGGACTGAGGGGGCTAAAGAAATCAGGTCTAAAGGGTGAACTAAAACAGGACATTATTAGTCACTTTGTAGAATCCCTTAGTGATACGTCAATTTCATCCGAAGAACATAATGGGACCTCGACAATCCTTCCAAATCTACCTAGCTTTAAACCTATAAACCATTCTTCAGGTTTTAGGGTTTATTCGAGGGAAAATTGTTCTGTGACTTCTTTGATTCGGCATATGATGAGGCGGTGAAATGGCGGAAGAATGCATTTAAAATTCCTTCAGGGAAAGCGGGCAAAGAATTCATCAAATTACAATCACAATGGCTATCTAAATTTAATAATGAAGATAGTTTTATGGGTATATCATTGAAGGTTTTTATGACCCTTCCAATGATTCTTCTGCAAAAGCCCTCAGTATCGTCAAAAGCAAAGGAACATTCGCAAGCCTTGAGCCGTAGAATCAAATGGCTAAAAGATGGTGAATTACAGCGTCTGCTTTCAGAATGTCGTTCTATCCAACGTCAATTACGACCAAAGACATCCTCGGACAATCTGTCTAAAACTTTTGCAAAGTTAATCATGATGGGAAACGTTAATGCTGCTCTTCGTCTTCTTAGCGAAGAATCTGATGGTTGTGTCCTACCATTATCCGAGGAAGTCCTTCGAAATCTGCAGGAGAAGCATCCAGCCCCTGCAGATATACAACCAAGTAGCTTACTCCATGGTCCCATTATTGACCTTCGCAATATATCTATAGCAGTTGATGAGCAAACTATACTAACTGCTGCGAAAACACTAAAGGGAGCTGCTGGTCCCTCTGGCCTCGACGCTAATCAGTATATTCGTATGCTTTGCTCAAAGCAATTTCACCGTGAAGGTAAATGCCTGCGTGAACAAATTGCTTTGTTTGCTGTGACAATAGCAACAGAAAGTCTGGATCCCTTCTGCCTGGAAGCATATGTTGCCAATAGACTTATCCCCTTAGACAAAGTCCCCTGGTATACGACCCATCGGTATTGGTGAGATTATGAGGCGCTTGGTTGGGAAAGCGCTAACAAAGGAATTCAAGCAAGATTTCAAAGAAGCGACTGGTCCGATTCAAGTCTGTGCTGGGCATGAAGCTGGAGCAGAAGCAGCCATCCATGCTATGCAGCAAGTATGGGAAGAGGAAAACACGGAAGGGATCTTACTGATTGATGCAAGTAATGCATTTAATTCACTAAATCGTCAAGTTGCTCTTCATAACATTTGTTATTATGCCCAAGACCAGCGATATCCATAATTAATACGTATCGAAACCCCGCGAGGCTATTTATTGTGGGCGGAGGTGAGCTTCGATCGCAAGAAGGCACAACACAGGGGGACCCATTAGCCATGCCTTTCTATGCCATTTCGGTCATGGTATTAATTTCATTTCTTCATGATGCATATGATATGGTGAAACAGGTTTGGTTTGCCGATGACTCGACCGCAGCAGGTAAACTACGTGCTTTACTGGCGTTTTTTGAAATGCTAATAAGCGAAGGCGTAAAGTATGGCTACCATGTCAACAGTGGGAAATCTTGGTTAGTAATTAAAGATCCGTGTGATATAGAGAGAGCCACTGAATTATTTAAAAGTCACGACATCAAGATTACATCCGATGGTCATAGATTACTGGGAGCTGTCATTGGATCTACTTGTTTCAGAGAGGAATATGTTAATAGCAAAGTCTCTACTTGGTGTACTGAGCTCGAAAATCTATGCTCTATAGCGAAGTCGCAGCCACATGCCGCATACGCTGCTTTTGTGCATGGTTATAAGCACAAGTTTACTTTTTACATCAGGACTATTCCAAACGTGGCCCATTTGTTCCAACCTGTAGAAGAAATTATTTGTTCGAAATTTCTACCAACTATATTTGGCCAGGATATTTCTCAACTTGATCGGGAAACTTATGCTCTACCCATACGTAATGGAGGACTGGGAATACCACGTATCCCAGAAGATGCTGATTTCGAGCGAAATACGTCAAAACTGTTATGTGCTCCACTATCTGCTTTGATCATCATTCAAGCATGTAATCAACTTCCACAAGACGACGCAATAACCAACGTAAAGTCCCAAGTTCGAAGTCTTCGGGTGGAAAGAGCAACTACCTCCTCATTATCGGTTGATATTCAACTTTCCCAAGAGCAGCATCGAACAATCTCTTTAGCCCGAAATAAAGGTGCCTCTGGATGGTTAAATGTCTTACCACTGCAAGAAGAAGGCTTCTGTCTGAATAAAGAAGAATTCAGAGACGCTTTGGCGCTGAGATATAACAAATATATCCCAGATCTCCCAAGCATATGTCCCTGTGGAAAACCTTTCGATCCTTACCCCGCGATGGAGTGTAAAAAAGGTGGCTTTATACACGCGCGCCACGACCAAATGAGAAATCTGGAAGCTGCTCTCCTCTCTGAAGTCTGCAATGATGTTTCTATCGAGCCACCTTTACAACCGGTGACAGGAGAAGAATTTGCCTTGAGATCAACAAACACAGAAGATGAATCACGACTTGATGTGAAAGCTAGGGGTTTCTATAGACATGGCCAAAGTGCATTTTTTGACATAAGAGTAGCACATCTTAACGCCGCGTCCTATAAGTTACTACCAACCCACAAGATCCTCTCACGTCATGAGAATGAGAAAAAAAGAGAATATAATCGAAGAGTAATTGAAATTGAGCAAGCAGTTTTTACACCATTGGTCTTTGGCACAAATGGTGCGATGGGTAAAGAATGTGCGAGATTTCACAAGATTCTTGCTACAAAGCTGGCAGCCAAATTTGGCAAACCATACTCAATAACTATGTCTTGGCTACGTACGAAACTCTCTTTTTGTCTGCTGAGATCTTCCCTTCTATGTTTGAGGGGCACTAGAGTTCCTTTTTATATGAATAATACTAGTTTGTTTGACACTTTGTACTAACTTGAACCTTTTTAAACGAATTGCTTTAATGGATTTTATATATTTTTAATGTATCTAGCTATGCTCATTCTATGAATAAATCTTTTCAGTATTTGCAGATAAGTTGTTCATCAGTTCTAACCTG